GATGACACTCCAAACCAAACGAAGAACTTATGGAGTGGCTGACGGATACGACTTTTGCTTGAGGGTACCGCTAGGGATTCGCATCTCGGCTCAGGCCGTCGTAATTTTGAACCCCGTATGAATTGGACGGGGGATCGATAGGAGGGAACCAGAGAGAGAGGGGATCGGAGGGGGATTTTATTAAAAATATCATTAACAATATTATTATAAATATCACACTATTTTTATTTTAACAATCATTCTCTGATCTACCTATGGTTGATATTGTTGTAAGTTCGACAAATGTATTGTTATATTTTGTACCGTGGCCATAAATAAAAAAATACATATACTAAATAACCCGGCAAACGTTGCTATATAAATAAAAAAACACCACTATTGAAAAATAGGGAACGATTGTAGAAGGGTGAAAATTTAGTGAAAAATTAGGGCCCGCTATCCACCATCACTATCAAAGCGCTAGTTTGTCTGAAAGAGATCTCTTTCAGAGATAAGTCCACTAGTGTAGCGGCGCGGCGTGTAAATAGCTAGCACACGTGCGAACTTATCCGAACCTATTACATGGCGTCCTTCCACAAAGTTATATGGTCTTTGAATACCCTACAGCAAATACCCAAACAATAACGGTAAGTATCCACTGACTTGCAATCCTATCCAGAGTACTGTTAAAAAACAATGCGCAAATTGGGTCCAGGCAGAAGACGTCCGGATAGCAGGAAGAACAGAGAAGATAATTATTTAATATAGAAAAAGGGGAACACCATGTATAATTCACACATATAGTTTTTTCTTATGACTACCTGTCTCGGTGACTTCGTCCGGAATTTTATTTCATTTTTCTAAAATAAAAGTAGCCTAAGTTACTCCTTATTACAACAGCTACCTGCCAAAAAAAGTTCCGTCAAAATAGGTCCAGCCATTTCAGAGATTAGCCGGAACAAATAGACAGACAGACAAAAATTGGAGAAAATGATATTTTGGTGTATGTACCGTATTTATATTCATCTGCATGTAGTAAAAAAACTGTTATTTTAATATTACAAACAGACACTCCAAGTTCATTTATATGTATAGATAATGGAACGGTGCACCCGCCTTCGCTAACGGTTTACGCTGGAGGGGCATCAGTGGAGGATAATAAGATGAGTATGAGGTCAGGTCACTTAGCCTATCGTGACAAATTCAACAAGAATCTATCAAGTTGGTTGGACATCAACCTAACATGGTACATTGTAGCAATAAGATCATCATTCCACATTACTAACGATCCTCCTTCCCCCCACATGTATAGTTTATACCGTGAGAAAGGACATAGATAGTCTATGTTTATGTTTTGGGTTAGAATTTAGATTAAATAATATTTTTTCTTTATTTGGTCAAGGTCACTATTCCACGTGTATGAAGTCGTGAGCACGGCTGGTAACAATATATAGATATATATATAGGAGGAATACTAAACAATTACTGCGTCATAATATGCAAATTAATTAGTATTTTTTGGGACAGACTGTAAAACAATCGTGTATATAAAAGGTCGAACTTGTATAATGTAACAAAACTAATGAAATGTGATGACCTAGTCTCAAACTAAGCAGAGCTTGTAAAAAAAGAAATAAATTGGGGTATTGTCAGGTGCTAAAACCTGTAATAATGCAACCTGTATAGATCTATTGTGCTCGTCCTTATCAAAGTTCGCTACCTAGACCCGTGAGGTAGAAGAATTGAAGGATATTCTCAGGAGCGATGGTTTTTATATCTTCAGGATAGAGTGTGTACTTTCCAAAGGAGATATTTCGTTTATGCATGAATGGGGTACAACCACATAAAATGTGTAGATTCGTTTCCTCTTCAGCTTGGCAAAATTTGGAGATTGATGTTAAACTAAGGCCTAACTTCGCCATGTGTTTATTCAATTTGCAGTGTCTAGTGAGGGGCCTAGTCATAGTGGATATATTGTACTATTAGAATTAAAAAAAAAACAATCTTTATTCAAATTTCTTTTTCTTATTCTACCACTCATACACATAAACAAACATGCGTGTTGCTATTTTCCCTCTGTATACATCTATAGTTACAAATAACTAAAAACGGTGATGTGGTTAATATATCGGACCGAAGTGGGGGCGAGAGGTATACCAGTGAAATCTCTCTACAATCTACTAAGTTCTAAAAGATCTTGGTCTGTTTAAAACTATAATGTGTATGGAAAGCAGTACAAGCAGGCTCCTATCAGATTCGACTCGGCAGGGGGGAGCACGAGTGGTGAAGGTGAGTGTTGACGTATGTTGGGTTACAAGTCCCGGGAACTGCTCTGAGTTTCCCTCTCTGGCCAAAACTTCTGGGGCTTACCCAGAAATTTTGGATCAATCAAGAATCATCTGGCAACCCTGACCCATATAGGAAATTGTTGAATTGTATGTGGACTGATGATCCCATTGCTAGCAATGTACCATGCCAGTTTGATTTCCACGCGGAAATCATCGTGATAAATTCTTGGTGAATATGTCACTATAAACACACACACCTTATCATTGTCCACTGGTGCCCCGCCAGCGTAAACCGTTAGTGCAGGCGGGTGAACCATTATCATCCATTAAAAAATCTCTGACCCGAGGCCATCGTAAGATGCACTATCAAGTTCATAAAAAAAATTTATAAAAACAATCAAGAAGTCATTGATATGACTCTGTGGACTTTGCCTGTTCTTCTTTGAACATAAATGTAAGTTCGTCATAATAATAAACAAATTTACTTATGTATCACCACCATTGCAAAGTCTAAATGTATTTTTAACCTCTGGTAAAAAAGGTTCTCTGTTCGTTTAATGTTCGAAAAATGAGCATTATTTGTATATCAACTCTATTGCTTTATATAAAAAATATACTTCTAGACTCGTGCGATTCAAATTATATTTTTTTTATTGTAAACGGTCAATGGTAGGGAAAAAATTATACTATAATATAAAAATTTTGATATTTATATAAAAATTTTGAGCGGTTAAAATGTCCTACATGAATACATTATTTTTGTATTTGAATTTGCTATTAGCCTGTGTTAAAAAAGAAGGATCTTCATTGATTTACATACATAATATACATACATACATACATAGCAAACACCCAGACCTATGCCAACATTCATACTCATGAATAGAAATGTTTGTATCATGCACGGAATCAAACCAGCAACCATCGGAAGAAAAGCAGTATCCTATACCGCTAGATCACTGAGGCCATTCTAATAATAAAAATAATGTTAATTACTCATTACTCAATACTTATTGCATTTCATAATATTACAGTGAAAGATGTTCATAATAGGTATTAGATCATTATAGACCCTGATACGGCTCGCAAACAACAAAATTATTATTATTATAACTAATTATAATATATAATTTAATATTATTCGTTATTATATGTTTACCTATAATAATATGATATTAATTAAATATTATAATATTACATAAAAACTATAGAATATAAATTAAATATTAGCTTATAATATAATACTGTTTATTAAATAGTAAATCTTTTATAAATAGGCTATGCTCATTATGTATGGACAGCCACTATCTAGTACTATGTACCACATTTAAAATTAATTCCATCAGTAGTTTTTGCTATATAAGGGGGTATGATAAACAAATGGACAAGAAAAGTCCACACATTTTATATTTCTGGTTCTAAATTGTATTGGTTAAAATGTACATTAACTAAGTACTGTGATTAATCTGTTTAATAATGTAATTTAATACCAACCTATTTTTAATCACAAACCCTAAAAGTGGTGGCAGCAATTTAAGATAAAGAAGAACAACAACCCAAATGGGTCGGGGTCCGTTCAAGTATTATGTAAGCACTATGTGGGGCTGGGGGTCTTTGCTTTGCCTATTTTGGATGACATGGGGGGTAAGGGTCTAGATGATAATTATCTCATTGGTAGTTATTTACTTTTTTACATGAATGGCAACACTCACATTGTCTTTGCTAAAAAAACAATATATGATTGATGAATTGAAAAATGTTTACGTAAGCATGGGGAGAGGGGGTAAGAGCTTTACTTACTTTTACTGACAAGTGGGATGGGGGGTAAATAATCGTAAAAAATCTGCTTATGTAATACTTGGACGGCCCCTTGTGGGTAAGTTTATTATCACTAAAATTTTAAATGGAGATTTTTGGAGGAGGCCTATGTCTTAGGGGAAGCTGATGAACCTAGACAGAGAAATAAAAATATACAAAACCAACTCTAATTTTATAAAATAAAATAAATAAAATTTTAAATAAAATGAGCCAGTTTTCATTGTTATTCTTCTAAATGGATGAATATGGAATGGCACCCTGCCTGTGCCAATGGTATTCTCTGGTGGGTCACCAGTAGAGGATGATATGATAAAGATGAAGATAGGCCACTTCACCAGGAATTAAGTATGACAGTTTCCAGTTAAGGCAGCATGGAGGTCAACCTGTCATGACATGACAGCTTGGAGTCACTTCATCTATTACTAACAACCCCTTATCCTTAAGAGCAGTATGTCACTTTCACTCAGATTAACAAACCAGTTTTTAAAAAAAATAAAAAATAGTATAAAATCTAAAATATTATTTGAAATTTTTACATATTAAAATAATTTTTGTTACATTTTTATTTATAGGTCAGGCCTATTTATGTATGTTGTTTCTTTAAGAAAGTATTGGAAAACTGGACAATTTACAGGTCCTTATATCAAGTAAATTGTAATAAGTATATATTATATAAACACTGCTTTAAGGTTTAATTAAAATAAATAAAAATTTCACAAAAATGAAAATAATTGCGGCACGCTAGAAATCATATTCTTAACACGTCAACGTCAATCAATAAGCCGCAATCAGTGAATGAAGCACATATTATTAGTAATAACACGCTGATATGTTCAAATCAATTGAAATCAATAGTATAAATTGATAATCTTTATCTTAAGCTATGTTTGTAATTAAATGTAGAAAATAACTCACAGTAATAATTCGCCGCTGCACTGAAGAGCTTGACGAGTATAATGCACCGATTGTCCGATATAATCTTTAGCGATAAGATTATTTTCAATGGATAAAATTAACAAAACTGAATAGACTATAGTCACAAAACGTTATAGAACAATAATTGAATCTGTGGAAGTGAACGATACGAGAAATAAGAAATATTGAACATTAAAAGAAAAACGATGGAATACAGAATTCCGAATCGCGTGAATTGGCAAATGTGACATTTGATTGACAACTTGACAATTGACATTTGGCGTAACTCTTTACAATTTTTGTATGATAGATGGCTGTATAGACGTAGTGCCCTTTGTCTTTTATTTAAAGGATATATGTGCCAAAAAAAATTTTTGTACCTTTTTATTTTTTGTTCTGTGATTTACCGCAAATTTATTAAAATGGAATTATTTAAACTTGGTTTCACTGACTTTACATACTGAAATAACTGAAATAAACTTAAATACTTATGCTTTTAATAAAAACACATGATATTGTAAGTTTGGCTCTTATTCATATATTTTTTTCTAGTGGCAATATTGATAATTGCCAATTTTGACAGATTAATTGAGGAAAACACAGATAACACACATTTTACATTGAAAATGAAACAAAACACAATGAAAATAATAAATAAATTTATATTAAGATATTTTTATTAAAACTTGAAATATTTACAATGCGTATATTATTCCTAATTTAATGTTAAGAATATTAATTAATGCACTTTCAATAGTAGTCATTGTATAAAGTGCTAAATAAAATGGAATCTTCGGAATCAACAAGTGTTATTTCTACCTCGGTGCCAGAGGTTGACGAAATTAAACAGTCTTGTAGAGTTTGTATGGCTAAAAAGGTTAATATGAGTCGAATTTTCGATACGGAATCGAATCTTATCGCTCAAATTGAATTCTGCACTGGAATTCAGGTAAGTCTATATTAGAGTGAGCGCCAGGAGTTCTATGATAAACAGATAAAAACTACATCTCTTTATATAAAGATCGCAATTTAACTCTTTTATGATACATATAAAGATCAAAATCTTCATATATCAGTTTACAAACCCTGCAACCTTCAAATCTGATTAGTGTGCAGTGTTAAACCACTACGCCGGGGGGAAAGGGGATTGTTAGTAATGTGGACTGATGGTCTTATTACTAGCAATGTACCATGTCAGGTTAACCTCCACGCGGTTCCCCCTGAAAACAATCGTGATAAATTTTGGTGAATTTGTCACAATGGGTTAACTAATCTGACCTCATGCTAATCTTATCGTCCTCCATTCCATTATCATCCATAAAAAAAACACTACATCACCAAGACAACCAAGGTAGGGGGAGGAGGGTCAACAATGTAGAACAAGAGGTTCATATACTTTATTTAAAAATCATGAACTCTACTTTGCCATTATCCAATGGCTGGGGTTTCAGTTTTTGTATTACATAAGTTCCATATTTGTATTAAAACATAAAACTTTAACTGTTTAACTGTAATCAGCCAAGACAGGGGGTTAAAATTATAGATATTGGTCACAATAATCTCATCTTTTGTTTAAATAAATATTGACCTTGCACAATTAACACAGCGCCAAAATACAATCTCTGCTTACTGTGGGTCTGCTTACTAGTCCCATGATAAGCAGAGATTGTGTTATGGGTGCTAGACTACTGGTATTAATACTTATATAATTTGTTTAATAACATAATATACATAGAGAACACCCAGACCAATACCAACAATCATACTCATGAATACAAATGTTTGCATCATGTGAGGAATCAAACCCACAACCATTGGCAGACAATCAGGTTGCTAAACGGCTAGACCAAAGGCTTGTTAAAGCGAAAGCTTTTATTTTAATTAAAATCATGTCTATTTATCCACAGCTTACAAAAGAAGATGATCTGCCATCACAAATATGCAATGTATGCATCACAGATCTCTCTGTTGCACACAAGTTCAAAACTAGGTACATACATGCAGACAATATGTTCCGGAAACTCCTAGCTAATGTAAAGATTGAAGCCAGCGATGATGAAACCAACAATGAATCTTATAATATAAATGATGACGATGTAAAAGAAGAAACTCTGGACAATCAGATTGGTGATGAAGCAATAAAAAGTGATGTAAAAGTGATGACAAATGTTGATAAAAGGTATTATTTTTAGCCCATTATCCCAATACTGGGTATTGCTTTTAAAAGGCCTACAATTATAAGTATTTTTTAACTGACACAATATGGATGTAATCTGAATTAAAATTAAATAAATAAATTACAATGGCAGTCAGATATCTGAACTTTTCAGTTGAGGGGAACTTAAAAATTCCAAAAATTAGTTATAGTTGTGTGTAGATATGTTTCAAACTGAAATATTTGCACAGATAAATATAGAAAAACTTACAAAAGTATAAGTCATCAAACATCAAATGCTATACAAACTAAACAAGACTGTTTAATTTGAATTTGTATCTATAGCCCTTTTTGACCTGAGGATTTTGTCTGCTGCTCATTTCAGAAACAGCTTGACCTATTTGGATGTAGTTTTCACTAATGTGTTGTAGTGAGCTTCACTTAAAATTAACATTTATTTTATTATAATCTCTTTGTAAACAAAAAATATGTGGTTCACACTTATGTTTGTGTCCCATCCAATTCAATGGGGGTCAACAGTGCCCTCAGATTAGAGACATATCCTTTAGGCAGGAGTTAGCTGTCAGCTGCTCCATAATAATATGCAATAATTCTTCCACGGATTTCAAGTGCCATCTGTCCTCTCGATAAAGCTGTAAAGGCCACCTGCAACCAACAGCATTAGAATGGTTTAAAAAAACTCAACTAAATAAAAATGACTGAAGTAGTTTTTTCTTTTGCAGTAAGATAGTTATACAAAATATACCACAAGTGCGGAAAACGCGTGGTCCATATAGAAAGAGTGAACAACCAAAGCGACTTCGGAAGTATAAGTTCAAAAGGCTGCAATGTGAACCATGTGGTATCAAGTTCGCATCCAGAGAACTGTCGGATGAACACAAAAGGAACATACATAAAGAGAATGAGAGTTGGGTGTGTGAAGTAAGTATAATAATAATGTAAGAATAGTCACCATTCAAATAAACTTAATATAAGCAATTTTGAATAATCATATTTTATTCTACCACTCATTCGGAAGGCAGACTCATCACAAGAAGAATGAGAAAGAAACTTGCATGTTGCTGTTTTAAATAAATATTGTTTTATCTAATTAGACATTAATAGTGTAAGATGTAGACAGCAGAATGGGCCACCTGATGCTGCCCCGGATCTTCAACTTTTCGAGGCTGGGCAAAAATTAATAAATTGCATTACACAATTTTAAACAATTCATAACAAACAACTTAGTTCAGTCTATAAGTACTAGATGGCGCTATATACAATATTTGTAATAATCGTTACATTTAATACTTCATTATGTTAAATATTAAATAACAGTGATTTGATCAATATAGGCCGAATATAATTAAATTAATCAATTAACAATTAAAATAGTCATTGTATTGAACTTGCGCTATCATATATATACATACCGCCACTTCAACATAGTAAAATTATAATTAAAACTAATGTTTTTAATTTTTGCTGAAAATCTAATCATTTGCAGCAGAGACCTTAAAGTAAGATTATTAATTCCAGTCAGTAAAATGACATTTCCAGTGTTGCAGGTTTTTAGTCCCAAATAAATAGTGATGTGGTAGAATCGAGTTTTTACAATTAAAAGTTAGTCGAGATTACGTTTTTTTTATTCAATATCAAATTGCCTTTATATAAATAAAAATTCTAGTATTAATTCCTCTGAATCTCTGTTTACATTTTTTCCCAGCTTTTATAATAATGTTATAGTGAGAAATTTTAATATGCTGGTAAGGTCCATATTTCTAAATTCGTATTATTTAATACGATATGTATTAAATATTTAAAATTAAAAAAAAGTCTTCCATACCTAATAAAAGGAAGCATGACTAAATGTCTAAGTCTATTGATTGCCGAACATCACTATTGTAGCGGGTCACCCTTTTTTGTATCAGTGACAGTTGCACTTGTCATTTCACTGACTGGAATTAATAATGGTACTTTAGGTTAAATAATAGCACATAATTTGTCACATGTTTCTGTAGATATGCGGTAAGATGTTCATCCACCGGGCGTCGCTGTATACCCACACGCGGTCGCACCTACCACCGCAGTACGGCTGCGAGAAGTGCGACTACCGCACCTGGCACAAACACGATCTCGTCAAACACTTGAGGATACACACTGGTAATATAACTTGATTAAAGCTATCATTCACAACACAAATCGACGGCCTCGGTAGTCTAGTAGTTTACTTCAGATGGTCGTGGGTTCGATTCCTCCCACAGCACAAACATTTGTATTCATGACTATGATTGAATCAGTCTGAGTGTTTGCTATGTATAATATGTGTAATTGTATCAATTGTCTAGTACCCATGACACAAGCTTTAGCTAGCTGAACTTGGGTCTAGATGGCGCTGTTTGAAATATACTATGATTATTATTATACGGTATCATACGGCCTATCTGATGGTAAACAGTTACTGTAGCCCATGGACGCCTGAAACACCAGGAGTGTCACGTGCGCGTTGCCGACCCTTTGGATAGAGGACCTTAATATATTCTTGAAAAACCCCATGCTGTAATCTCATGAGAAAACCTCAACAGGAATTTCTTCCGCAATCTAAGTGTACGCGGAAGTCAAGCAAGTTTAACAGTCAAATTAGCATTGGTACGGCGACCAGAGAGATGATAATAATATTATGTTGATAGGTTCCAAAATAGATTATAGGTTTTCAAAACTGAATTAACCTATTGCAGGGGAGAAGCAGTACCAATGTCATTTCTGTACATCATCATACCACACGTCTTCGAACCTGACGGGCCACATCCGCCGGTTCCACGAGGGCCTGAAGAGGTTCCAATGTCACCTGTGCGACCGGAAGTTCTTCGACCGCACCAAACTCAACAGACACGTCGATTCGCACAATGAAATAAGACGGTTAGTTATTTAGAATTAGTAAGAGGAAATGTCTGAAATAGAGGTATATAATAGGTTGAAGAGTAATCGTTTGTCGTGGTATGGGCATGTAATGCATAGGAATGAAGATCATATCTTAAGAAAGTTGTTATATATGAATGTGGATGGTTATAAGGACAGAGGAAGGCCGAAAAAGAGATGGATGGACTGTGTGAAAGATGATATGGTAAGAAAGGGAGTAAATAATGAATGGAAAAGAAACATATTACGCCGACCACAAATAAATGGGACAAGGAAGAAGCAGATGATGAAGAGGAAACGCCACTACACATCCTATGCGGTTATAGCCCAGCCAAGCATATAGGAAATATCTCCCGAGGAGAATTTACACTCTATATATAAAATTAGTATATATAAATTTCATTACTTTTTAGTTTGTTTTTGTTTCTATTGTAAATAATGAATAAAGATTTTTCCTTTCTTAATCTTAAGAGGCCTTTCACATTTTTTGGCCTAAAAGCAGGGTCTTTGGGGTTCTGGTTCTAAGAAATTAAGAGTCGGATATACATTTTGATTCCTGAATTATATAGATAGATATCTAATCTTAAAAACAACATCTTTGAAATGTTAATTTTCTCTTTGTTAGTCTTCATAATTTCTAAAATAGTTTATTCAAAAACGCTAAATGACAGAAGTTTGGGGTCGTCGTTCATTAATAAACAAACATAAATTGATATGATATCTTTACTAAAACTTGATAATTACTTTATAAATTGAGACAGCATCGTCCTTTTTTTCATTTTCAACTTAAATATCTAAAAAATTGATCATAATTAAACCCGAAATTTCAACAAAACTTTGCCATAATCATTTCTAATTTTCTCATAAATACAACGAAATTTTTGCATAAAAAAAACATAATAATAAAGTTAATATACTTGTAAATTAGAAATATGAAAAAAAAATATAAGTTTCTAAGAAAAAAATAAACAATAATAATAATTTAAAGTTGTATAAATTCCGTTGCGCCAAAAGTAAATTCTCAGTGCTGCGCTAGCGCTCGTCGAGGTAGGACCTATGCCATTTTTTACAACACCGCTACGATAAGACATTCGTCAGTGAACATTAGTATAGAGCGACTAAACAATTTTGATAATTTAAGTAATATTTAATTAATTTTGCTAATATATACTTATTTCTACGAATATTAATTTAAAGTTGTTGTTAAATATATATATATAGATATATAATATTTATTTTAGCATGCCAAGACAAAAGTACAGTTATGCTACAAATAAAACCTACCTACCCTGCTGGACTATGAAAAGCACAAGAGCATGGTATTTCGTCACACTAATGGCAATTAATTGTTAAAATTAAAAAAGTATGGCGTTATTTTTAAAATTTAACAATTAGTTGCCATTGTTAAATTTTAAAAATAACGCTTATCTGAGAGAAAAATGTAAGTAAAATGTAAACCAATTTTACTTTATGTTTATTTTGTAGTTTTTTTCTAAATTAAAATAGGGTTATTGTTTATAAAAATACCATTATTATTTTTACGTACATTTGTCTTGTGTTATATAGTGTATATCATCTAGTATGCAATGTGGATTGTAAATAAATTACCAAATTATATGTAAATTATATTCCTTAATGTTTAGAGATATTTTATCCAATTTTATTTTATTTTACACAATACAGATATTTCTAAATTGCAGCTATTCTGTTATTATACTCGTTGGACTTTCATTACTGTACAGTTATGTCAAATAATTATGCGTGTTTGGGTGAAAAGTCAACAACATTATAAATGTTTTTATTTAGAGACTAGCTTTTAGCTCGCGGCTTCGCCCGCGTGAATATGGGATATATAGGTTATCGCGCGTTTAAAGATCCGTGTACAGTATTGGGACGTTATATATAAACCTTCCTCTTGAGTCTATCTATTCTGTCTATTAAATAACAACGAATCAAAATCTGCGTAGTTTTTTAAGATCAAAACATACATAGATCTATTACATGTGTAGATGATATTTTAACCGGAAATTGAAGCCGTTAAAATGGTATTGGCAGATCAGTTGGAATCATCGGTATTCTTGGTATATAAACTGGTTGCCCAGCTAACGTACCGGTTATAATGGTCTACAATTAAATTGTCTTTCAATTCTTTAGTAAGCAATATATCCAATGGGACGCCATTGCACATGTTCGGCGGGCTTAAATTTCATGACTGGATCATGCTTTTGAGAAATTCCTTCCTCAAGTTTGAGCAGTTAGTGTGGGAAATCACTATCTGTGCTTCCATAAAAATGAGCTTTCAAATTTGTCAGTAATTTTAAACTTTCAATTAAAGTCCATAAGGGAGACGATGTTAATGACACAGAGTCTTTCAGAAATCTCCAGCAAAAGTATAAAAGTAATCCCGCCAATGAGAGCAGAGGTGTTTCTAAGGTCTTTTAAGGTTCTGTCCAAAATCTATATAGCTCATGGTGATTTCATTACATATAATCAATGAGGCGTCTTATAATAATTTATAAAAAGGTTTGACATTAACAATTAATTATTTATCAAGAATCAAGAATCGGCCAACCAAGAACGAGAAGCAGCAATATCAGCCAATATCATGTGGCGACGTCAATGATGCAGGAACAGCCATGATAGCAGTTGAAGCTTTTTTTTTACAACTTAGAATGGCAAACAAGCGGCTCTCCTGATGGAAAGGGGTAACCGTCGCCTATATACATGAGCAGTACCTGACATGTTCATATCAGCATATTGTTTCCCTCATGCCTTGCCATTCCTGAAAACTCGGGTGTTATTCCCCTGTACCTTGTAAATTCACTACCATATATATACACAGGTAGTCTATATAGATAGATATACATATACCCTGAGAAAGGTCATAGACTACTTTATAGTGCGAAAAAAGTATTGTAAGGGATTAAAAGCAGAGATGAAAGGTTGTATAAAAGTATCGTCATTGTTTAAGTGAAACAAAGAAACTTTTTTAGGTTATAATCTAAATATATTTCCTTTATTTGGTCAATTTCATTATACTACGCTGACGAAGTCGCGGACACACCTAATATACATATAAGGATGGGACCTTTAAATCAAAACAAAGCCTTGAAAACACAACTATCATATATAAATAAAATAATTATTTGCTAAGTATAATATTTAGAACAAGTGAATATGGCAATAATGTATCCGACTCTTATCATAAATTATATTGTATCTATTAATAAATAAACTGAATTAATATGTAAGAAGAATTAATTAGTAAATTTATGTTATAGTAATTTCATCTTCCTGTCCTTATCTCAATTATTTGTTACTCATATTACTTAAGGTTTTGGCTTTTAGTTGTACAATCGGCCAGCATCCTGACATCAACCCTCTAGAAATAATATAATAAAAAAATATGGTCATTATTAGCACTATTAACATTATTAGCACTTTGATAATTAAGATAAATCACGTTATTTAAAAAAATCCAATAAGTAGTTTATGTTACTCAGTTAAGTAGAAACATATCACATTATTAATTAAAATATTACAAGGATCAAAATGGTTCATACTAAATCCACACCGATTGAGCTACACGGTTATTTGCGTCTGTGTGCGTGTATTACTGTGTGTGTGCGTAAATCCATGCGATTAAACCTAAAGTTGAGCGGCATCATTTTGTAATAGGCCTCTTAATGTTTGCCAGAAATTTAGCTATTTGTTGATATCAGTTATGCTCGTTTTATCATCATTCTGTCCAAAATTAGACATAAAAAAGTTTCCCCCTTTCCGCCATTTTTGGAGCATTCAAGTCGAATAGTACAGGATCCGTTTCGTTTAGTACTAGATATGCTAAAGTCCATTTTACTGGTTTACAGATTTGAATGTGATATATGTCATTCATTCTTCACACGCCGCTGTTACTGGAAGAAGCACCTTCATCGGCAGCACAATGTGGAGATACCACCACAGCGGCCCGGGAGACGACCCACATGGTCTGCGGAGAAGCTGGTCACTACCCCTCAGGAGCCAACTGACCCATCATAGGGGCTATCCGTAAAAATAATGTGTGACAAAGTATGACCAAGTGTAACAATGGGGTGAGAATGGGCCCTATATTTCAAACTATATGACTAGTAAAACACGAAATATCCCTAAAAACAAAGTGTGACATCGTGTGACAAGGGGTCAGATTGGGTCCTAAATTTCGTGACGTCATATTTCAAACTATATGAATAGTAATCCACGAAATTTACGTTAAAAAAAGTGTGACTAAGTGTGACATTGTGTGACAAGGGATTACAGCGGGCCCTAAATTCCGTGACGTCATATTATATCAAACTGTATGAGTATTAAAACACGAAATTTTGAACTATTAACGAAAAGCTTAATATTTCCCTATAATCGTATTTCTCTATAATCGTAAGGTTTAAATTGTTTTGTTGACGAGTTTACACTCGGTTTACTAGAGTACAAGTTGATAATATGTGACGTCACACTAGGGATTGTGGTGTCCTCTCTCTCCCCTCTCCTTGTCACAACTGGTGACAATTCACCAGTTGTGACAAGGAGAGGGGTTGAAAAAACATGAAATTCATATGAAATACTTCATGTATATCCCCATAGCACGAATGTGTTCATGTTGAAGTCACTCACAGGGAATTTTATTGTTTAAAAGATGGAAAATGGTGTTTATTTTTCGAAGATTTTATTTAATTTACAATAATAGTAATAATAATGTCACTGGACAATTCACGCGGCGGCATGCAGTAACAAGATAAGCAGAGCTTGTGTTATAGGTACTAGACAATTCAGAGATACTTAGATACGTTTTTTAAATACATACGTAATATACAAAACACCCAGACCGATACAAACAATTACACTCATGAATACAAATGTTTGTACCGTGCAAGGAATCGAACTCGCGACTAACGGCAGTAAATCACTAAGCCTGTTAAATATCCGTATAGACTTGAGACAGAAATTTGTTAATAATTATTATTTCTAAAGCAATCTGTCTGTTCGGTTAGATCTTTTAAACTACGCAACGGATTTTAAGGCAGTATATAGAATGATACAAGAAGAATGTTTATTGTATAATACATGTACACCCGTGCGAAGCCGGGGCGGGTAGGTAGTATAATATAAAATTATGTATGGCAATAATAAAACCGTAAGTGCAATATTTAATAGAATAGTTGGAGGGAAGAATGTTAAAAATTTGGACTGTTGACTACATTGCTAGCCTTGTACCATGTCAGGGTGACATCCACGTGTTCCCCCTGGAAATCATGATAGGTTCCTGGTGAATTTGTCACGATAACCGACCTGACTTCATACTCATCTTATCTCATCAGTCACTAGTGCCCCGCCAGCGTATACCGTTAGCGCAGGAGGATGAACCGTAACCATCAGCCCAACGTGGCGAATTCATTCGAAATTAACCACGATTCAGGGGTTACCGCGTGGAGGTCGACCTACATGGTGCATTGAGGCCACTAACCCCCACGTATTGAGGCCACAGGATTATTAGTAGCGGGGGTTGTTACTAATAATCCTTCTCCCTTTATATAATATATTAGTATAGATAATTTAAATAAAAATCAGCATGAGTTACTTGTGCCTGTGTATTAAAAAAACAAAAAATGTTAACATAGTATAACGTGAAGTTTTCGCTGTCTGTTCGCTTAGATCTTTTAAACTACGCAACGGATTTTAATGCAGTATTTAGCAATAGATAGAGTGATTCAAAAGGTAGGTTTATATATACAATGTACACTCGTGCAAAGCCGGGGTCGGTAGCTAGTTATCTATATTACGACTATATCTATATGTGTATATGATATTGTAATAAACCCTTATATGTATGGGACCATACAAGTATGTGTTACTATTAGTAAGTACTATTTATCTCCAGTAACTTATTTATGTATATATTTTAGAAATATTAGTAAATTATATGTAATGTGATTTTCGAATCAATACGGTATTGAAACCTTCATGAAAGAGCTTATTCCTTCTTAAAAGACCTTGCAATTTCCCTGGTGTTGCGGGTGCTTATGGGCAGGGGTAATCACTTACCTTCAGGTGGGCCTCAAGCTCCTTTGACCTCTTTAACCTCACGGGGTTCCCCCTGGAAACCATCATGATAAATTCCTAGTGAAATCATGATGCGCTAACTGACTTGACTTCATGCGTATCTTATCATCTTCCACTGGTGCCCCGCCAGCGTAAACGGTTAGCGCAGGCGGGTGCACCATTCCATAATATCCATTAAAAAAAAGGTCTGTTCATCCACTTATTCAGGACGGGACGGACAGAAGAAGTCTGTTTCTTGTTCTATAATCTATACCACAGATAAGATAATATTACATATCTATACAGATAAATAAAATTGGAGTATCTGTTTGTAATATTGAAATAACCGTTTTTTGCTACATGCATATGAATATAAATACGGTACATACATCAAAATAACATTTGTTACCATTTTTGTCTGTCTGTCTGTTTGTTCCGGCTAATCTCTGAAATGGCTGGACCGATTTTTACGGGACTTTTTTTGGCAGGTGGCTGAAGTAATAAGGAGTAACTTAGGCTACTTTTATTTTAGAAAATAAAATTATACACCACGCGGTATTCCACGCGGACGGAGTCACGAGATCAGCTAGTATATATAGCTATATATATTCTCAAACATAAAATGTATGATTTTGTACTGAATTTGCTATTATATTTACTAACTGTTATTTACATTAAAATTGTATGAGAGTTATACACAACAGTATTACATGAAGCAATGATCTGTTGATATATTAAATATAAATATATTAATATAAATAAATTGTTTATACAGACTGGGTTTTATTTTTATACACTGAGCAGTGTTTTTAAATCTTTTTCATTACGCTATCCCTTTACAGGTAAAAATATTCTGGCCTTGTGACATAGAAAACGAAAGAAATAATTTAATTATAAGCGTACATACGTTAGCTGGGTAAAAAATTGTTTTCATTTGTTATTTTTATGAAATTTGTGTTTATATTGTATATTTACCTAGACTTTTTCTTTCAGCCGACGACCCCCGAGTGAGACTTAAGTGACCCACAGATTGAAAAACACTGCATTTGAGCATCATTACCAAATTTCCTAAAAATAATAGTAATAACTGCTATCAAACGGCAACAGTAACGACACAAAGAATATAAACTTTTACTTAGATGGTACGGGTCATTGGGCTCCCTAAAATGTGGTCGAGCGCAGTGATGGCTGGCTCTTCCGTCATACACGTGAACGAGTGCTGCTTGTAGGGACTGGTCGGCTCTTATCACTACGACTGATTTAATCTTATTGTGTACTTATATTTAACCCTAATAAATTAGTGCTGGTTGGTAGTTTGTATTCACACGTTTCGAATTGTATAATGTGAACTTACAAGGATTGTTTAAAAGAGCAACACACAAGTTTCTTGGTTGTTCTTGTTATGAGACGACTTTCCGAATGAGCGGTAGATTTAAAAAAACATTGTTATGACCCATCTGCACTCGCCCCCTATCGTCCGGTGAAGCTGTAAGCAGCGGCAGCCAACAGCATTAGAGTAGTCCAGAACAAAAAAATAACAATATAAGTGAGATATCACGTGCGTCATATGATAACGACCATGGTGCTGTTCACGTATATAGGCGACGAATTAAGTTTATTTGAATAAATAATAATAATAATAATCTCAGGACAATTCACACAGAGCCATCTAGACCCAAGTTAAGCTAGCTAGAGCTTGTGTTATGAGTACTAGATAACTGATACATATACATAGATATTTTTTTTTGTAAATACATACATATTATACATAGAAAACACCCAGACCGGTACAAACAATCATACTCATGAATACAAATGTATGTGCCGTGCGAGGAATCGAACCCATCGCGACCATCGGTCGTAAAGCAGTGTGCTTGACCGCTAGACCACCGAGGTCGTCAATAAATGATTTTCTATTCTTTTCTACTCTACTTTATACTTCTGTTTTTGGTATATCTACTCTTTGGTTTAAACCGAACTGGGCTGTCCACACAATATGGTAGTTCTATATTTAAAGTCAGTAGGTAGGTAGGATTGTTATGGTCAAATCAGAACTTATATCTTGTACTCAAAAATAAACATTATTATATCTTCTAGAACATACATTTTATATCATAATTATAATTAGATTTAATCTTTACTAAAGTTTATAAGCATAAATCATGTTAATTAATTAAAAATATATTGTGGTGGTTATCACACTCAAACTAGATGGCGTTGTAATCACTGAAATCTGCTTTAACAGAAATAAAGAGGCATGCTAAACAGCTTAACCACTGAGCCTGTCTAAAAATAAAATTAAATAAAAAACAGTATTTTTATGTTACAATTATATTTTTTAACCGTTAAAAGTGGTCAGTCCGATCTTAGGCAGCGGTCGGAGCATCGTTTGAGACAGTCGACGTCGTTCCGACAGTGTGCGCGGCAGCTGGCTTGACAGCGAGTCACTGTACGGACGTTTGTACGTGCTAGTCGCTCATCAAACATTACGCTGTATTAAAAATAAGCAAAAATAAAAATTATTAACACCCCTCTGATTGTCCAATTCAAACGGGGATCGAAATTACGACGGCCTGAGCTAAGGTTCGAAACCCTAGCGGTGCCCTCAGACTCAAATCGTTTCCGTCAGGTGGGAGTTGGGCTACGATTGCTCCATAAGTCCATCCGCGTGTTTGGAGTGCCATCTGCACTCGCTCCCTATCGTCCGGTGAAGCTGTAAAGGTCAGTTTTTTTTTTGTTAAATTGACAATGTAAGTGGGATATCACGTACGTCACATGATAACGACCATGATGCTGTTCATGTATATAGGCGACGGATACCATTTACCATCAGGTGGGCTGTCAGCTTGTTTGCCATTAGAGATAAATTCTAAAGATATAGAAAATATAGTTTATAGGTTACACTAGCCGTGGTCACGAGGAACGCCGAAAGTTGCAGAGTGTATCACCAACCCAAGGTGTGCTCTTTGCGCGTCACTGGGCCGTCCAGTGGGTTGGGATTTCAGAAATACACCCCGCCCAAGAGTAAAGCCAGGAGACAGCCAGGTACTCAGATACAAAACCGTACAACCCAGAACGAGGAGGGGATGGACACCAGTTCGATGCCTTGATTTCGGCATATATGAGTGAGGGACATATCGGAGTTTTTAGTGACGAGGAGTCTCACAGTACTCCTTTGTCTCCCCCGGGGTGGGCGGGTCTCCATGAAAGATTTTCTCCAAGTAAAAAAAAGGTACCCTACAGGTAAGTGTCAGCGTAGCGCAAGCGCCTCACCCTGGCCCAGTGTGGCTACGCCCATGAGTCTCGCCTTTTTTAATTTTAATTACCTTGTTTCCTTCCAAATTCCTAAAAATATTCAAACCATAGACAATAAAATATAGAGCGTACCTGTCTATGAAAGGTACGGAGGTGCAGGTGGCGGCGTCGCAGTGCAGCACGGGGGGCGCCACCGCCGCCATCAGGGAGCTGTCCTCGCCCACCACGTATGGTATGTGGTCGATGTATACGTTATCAAATAGACACATCCGCTTCATGTACTCCTCCGTGTGGGTGAACATTGTTGGAGGAATTCCTGATGAGGTAATCTAATAATAATCTCAGGATTCACACAGCGCCATCTAAACCCAAGTTAAGCTAGCTAAAGATTGTGTTCTGGGTATATAGGAGATATTTCATTTACACATGGCTGGGCTACGACCACATAGGATGTGTAGTGCCGTTTCCTCTTCATCAACTGCTTCTTCCTAACAAATAAATGGGATACATTTATTAAATGGGATACATTTATTTGTGATAGGCGTAATATGTTTTTCTCTTCCATTCATCCCTGTTCGCAGTCATCTCTTTATTTACTCCCTTTCTTACCATATCATCTTTCACACAGTCCATCCATCTCTTTTTCGGTATTCCTCTGTCCATAACCATCTACATTCATATGTAACACCTACCTTAAGATATGATCTTCATTTCTACGCATTACATGGCCATACCACGGCAGACGATTACTCTTTAGCCTCTCTGATAATATAATTGCTTGTTTTCTACCGTTGTGGTATAAAAAAACTTCATATATATTCTTACCAACAGTATAGTATCTGGTGTTACACATGTGCTCCTGGATCAGTTCTGAGCGGTTGTTGAACCATCCAATCAGCCACTTGAGGTCCTCAAACTTGGTGATCTCATCATTGATGACTTTTCTCGTGAGACGCAAATATTCCACGTCCGCTTCTATCACGGACTCATCTTTGTCTTCCCCGTAACTGAGGATAAACGAACATAAATATAAGATTACTAGCTGTGCTGTATAAGCTATATTACTGTAAAGTTTCATTAAAGATTAGTAGTTTTTTGCGTGAAAGAGTAACAAACGTCCGTACTCACAAACTTTCGCTTATATTATATTAGTAGCTGTACCCGCGGCTTCGCTCGCATTGAATAAAAAATATTTGCTATCGTCGTCGTTGATCTCATATTGTATTATTTTACTGATAAAGGCTATAACAGAATAGCAGAGAGGGTGGACTCACTGCCCTCACTGAGATATAGACCGTTTTGTGTCATTCATTAGTTTATATTATTGTATGTTTATTTTATATTATTGTATGGGCAACAGTTGTATTGTGTGAAAAGTTTTTGTTTGAAATAATAAAAATTATTATTATTATTATTTCTCTTTTTAAATAAAAAGTATCTGTTCAAAATCTACCCTGTACCATCGTAAGCACAGATTATTATATTAGAGTCCGTTAGTTTGTGTTCCCGCGGTTTCTGTTCCCCTCTCTTACCTACAGTACTGAACTGACCGTACAGCGGCCTTGACGCGCGCGCGCCTTTATTGTGAATTAAAACAAATTAGAACTGTGTTAAACCTACTGTGAAACTGGAAGGCTAGCGAAGATACCTTCGAGACCCTGAAGCCCAAGAAATCCGCAGAACCATACAGGTACGTGACAGACGCTTCCACATCTTTTTCCCTATATATATATACATAGTACTTTCCCTAACATTTTGGTAGCAGAGAGTAAATTCCCTAACAGTATCCTATGTTAATTCTAATACCTCCAAGAGCATGTGTACACAATTTCATGATGATCGGTTCAGTAGTTTTTACGTGAAGCGTAACAAACATCCCTTTTTTCCCATTTATAATATTAGTGAGGAATAAATATTATTTATCTAATAAATTAACGCGGATAAAACCGCGGGCACAGCTAGTATTAAATAATGTAACCAAATATTATTAAAAAATAAATTATTAAACTTTTTGGTACATTGTGTGGCACAAGATACCTGGTTCTACGTAATATGTTTATATAGGGTGGAAACGGGATTGTTAGTAATGTGGACTGGTGATCTTATTGCTAGCAATGTACCATGTCAGGTTGACCTCCACGCGGTTCCCCCTGGAAACCATCGTGATAAATTCTTGGCGAATTTGTCACGATGGGCTAACTGACCTGACCTCATGCTCATCTTATCATCCTCCACTGGTGCCACGCCAGCGTATACCGGTAGCGCAGATTAATAGAATTCCATCAAAAAAAATGATTATGTGAATATATATAGGTGTGTATGTATATGTATATATATGCATATAAGTTAGTGTTAAGCGCTTTTGCTACAGATTCCGGGTTACTGATTCTATTTTGATTGTAATATTACTTACTTCCTAATTTATAATATTACAAATGCGAAAGTAACTCTGTTGTCTGCCTGTCTCGCTTTTACACCAAAACTACTAAACCAAATAACTGAAACTTGGTGCACAAATAGTCTAGACATTGAGAAAGAACATATGTTACTTTTTAACGATAAAATGGTTGTAAAGGGTTGAAATGGGAAATGCAAGTTTGTATGAAGTTACATTTAAAAGTTTTTACATAATTATAAAAAAAAAAACTCTGCTAGTTAAAGTATGGCCCTATAGTGGAGAATGGTTAAGGCCGTCTGAAAAGAAGGTAGCACTCCTAAATGGACCAGATGAATGTCAAGTATGATGCAGTTAGTCATTCCATAGTATAAAACAAAGTCGCTGTCGCTGTCGCTGTATGTCTCTATGTATGCTTAAATCTTTAAAACTACGCAACGGATTTTGAAGCGATTTTTTTAATAGATAGAGTGATTCAAGAGGAAGGTTTATATGTATAATATATGTACACCCGTGCGAAGCCGGGGCGAGTAGCTAGTAATAAATAAAGCTCATACTTGCGATACTGCATCTTGAGTATGGCTTCTGACATATGTATGCGGAAGATTACGCCGGGACGCAGGTGAGCCTGGTAGAGGTCCTTCGGCATCTCCACGAAACCGGACTCCCACTCCTGTACACAGATTGATGATGATGAAGCCTTTTATTTCCATATCTATCAGTAATTTTTTTCTATTCTATTATATTCTAATTTTTAAAGCGAAAAAGGGTTGTAAGGGGTTCAAAGGGGAGATGAAAGGTTGTATAGAAGTAACGTTATTTTTAAAGCTAGAATTTTGAAAGTTAGTTTTTAGGCTGTTATGTTATTTATTTAATTAAAATAAATATGACATTCAAACTTTATAAAAGTTTTACCCTTAAGGGGGTAATAAAATAAATTAGGGATGAAAGTATGTATAGAAAATAGTAATTATTGAGGCTAGAACGATGAAACTTTTTTCTTTCTTAGGTTAGATTATTAAATATTTTTGCAATATTTGTCCAAGGTATTCCACGCGAACGAGGTCGTGGCACAGCTAGTTATAACAACACTCATAATTTTATGAGTATGTTATGCCCGAGCTAGTCGAGGCGAACCAGTAATATTGAGGAAAATGAAAGGCAATGAGGATAAAGTAACACATTTTAAGGCAAGGCATTTAGAAAATTATGTTATCTCACCTTTACAGGAGGCTCATACGTGTCATAGTTCGGCTTCTCTTTCCTAGACTTCTTCTTCTTTTTCTTCTGCTGCTGCGTCTCCCACTTGTTGCTGCGTCGGGACGGCATTTCTGTTGTGCTCGCGTTCTTTCCCTGTTTATTAACATACAATCACAACTGATATCTTAGATGGAGTAGACAGGCATTGTCAACTGTCGACTGCGTAATAAACATCAAAAGTACCGAGAAAAATGGCCTATTTTTCTTAACCTAAAGCAGCCTACACCGAGCAAAATAGCCCACACTAATCTAAGAGAGTCTTCTCTCGGATTATTTTTTGGTTTGTTGTCACAGTTTACTTCTACGGTCCGTCAGAAATTTAAATTGACATATTTATTAATGTCGGTCTGAACTCAAGTCCCGGGTAAGTTATATTAGAACGTCTATCTAAAGTAGCACTAGCAGGCTCCTACCAGATGTCTGGGCAGGGAGCGAAACACGAGCGGTGAAATGAGTGTTGATGTACTTCGGCAAGGAGTTCCTTTAAACCTACACCCGGATCACAAGTCGCGGTTAAGGTCTTTGCTAGAAGATGTATCTAAAGTAGCACTAGCAGACTCCTACCAGATGTCTGGGCAGGGAGCGAAACACGAGCGGTGAAATGAGTGTTGATGTACTTCGGCAAGGAGTTCCTTTAAACCTACACCCGGATCACAAGTCGCGGTTAAGGTCTTTGCTAGAAGATGTATCTAAAGTAGCACTAGCAGACTCCTACCAGATGTCTGGGCAGGGAGAGAAACGAGCGGTGAAGTGAGTGGTGATGTACTGCGGCAAGGAGTTCCTTTAAACCTACACCCGGATCACAAGTCCCGGGTAAGTTCTATGCTAGAAGATGTATCTAAAGTAGCACTAGCAGGCTCCTACCAGATGTCTGGGCAGGGAGAGAAACACGAGCGGTGAAGTGAGTGTTGACGTACTTCGGCAAGGAATTCCTTTAAACCTACACCCGGATCACAAATCCCGGGTAAGTTCTATGCTAGAAGAAGTATCTAAAGCGGCACTAGTAGATTTGAACCAGATTTGACTGGACAGGGAGAGAAACAGTCGTGAAGGTGAGTGTTGACGTACGCCGGGAAGGGGGCCACTTAAACCTACTCCCGGGTCACACACGGAACTGCTCTGAGTTTCCCTCTCTGTCATACGATGGAACCACCTTACGTACGGCGAATTCATGGAGTTCTATTTTTTATACGTTGTTTGGGCTATTGTCTGCGCTTGGACCTGTAACACTGCGACTTACATATCTCTATTGTGCTCGCCCTTTTTCAGAGATCACTACCTAGACCCGTCAGGGACAAGAATTGAGAATATTATTAGGCGCGTTTTAATCAGGATACAGTGTATACTTTCCAAAGAGATATTACGTTTATACATGAGTGGGCTACAACCACATAGGATGTGTAGTGGGGTTCTAAACAGTTCGTCTCTCCCATATTCATCGTTTTTTTTTATATATACGTACCTCATCATCAACGGATACCGAAGTCGCAAGTGGTTTGTTGCGTCGCTTATTGTAACCGCGGCGCCTCTGCTAATATAAGAATAATCATTACTAATATAACAAATGTGAAAGTAGGGATGTTTGTTACGCTTTCACGCAAAAACTACTGAACCGATCATCATGAAATTTTGTATACATGATCTTGGAGGTAGTAGAATGAACATAGGATACTTTTTAAATAAAAAATAAAATATATTTCAGCGCCATCTAGCGGCCAGTAATGAAGTTATTTAGTGGATTCAATGCGAGCGGAGTAGCTGGTAAAAGCTAGTAAACTATATAAAAATCGTCTATGTAAGTACGGGTATCTTATAGGTATCAGACGACCTCGTTGGTCTAATTATTTAGCACGCTACTACGGATGGTCGCGGGTTCGATTCCTCGCATGTTGCAAACATTTGTATTCATAAGTACGAATGTTTGTATCGGTCTGTGTGTTTTCTATGTATATTACGTATGTATTTATAAAAAAATATATATTTATATCAGTTGTTTAGTACCCATAATACAAGCTCTGCTTACTGTTGGACATGATGGCGCTGTGTTAATTGTCCAGGGTTATTTATTATTATTTCAGAAGCCTATGCACTTGCTTTGTAAGCAGCTTTAATTGAAGGGCACAAAAGGATTACAAAATTATAGGATAATAACAATAATTATCTCCAGACACACACAGCGCCATCTAGACTCAAGTTAAGCTAGCTAAAGCTTGTGTTATAGTTACTGGATAATTGATACAAATACATACATATTGTACATAGAATACACCCAGACCGATACAAACAATCATATAAATATTTGTACCGTGCGAGGAATCAAACCCACGAGCATCGGCTAGTAAAGCGGTATGCTAAACCACTAGACCACCGAGGCTCTCAAGAGATTAAGGATAAAGAAATAACTTTGCAATGAAAACTTTATTAAACTCCAAAATACAATCTTATTCATCAACATCCTTAGGTTCTGTTATAGAATCCACATACACTATCGAGTTGCATTCTGCTGCATCACACTGCAGCATTGGAGGCGCTTCTACAGGAGTCACTGAATACTCATCACCAATTACATATGGATTACCATCAATCCATAGCGCATCGAACAGACAGTAAATATGAACTTTTATCGTCATATAACTTATAAATTTGTAGATTCTTCCGCCACATTCCCCCAAGTGCTCCTTTATACTCCGATCCGTCTTGTACATCAACAGCAAGTTGTGGAACTTCGTTATCTCATCCATGACTACCTTTTTAATTAGATTTGTATATATTATATCGGCTTCTATATGCCGTTCTGGGTCTTCGTACATACGTTGCTTGATCCTGAGGATAGCATCAGACATTCTAACACGGAAAATAACGCCCGGATTCATCTGGTCGGGGAGTATGCCCGGCTTTTTGGTGCTAGTTGTGAATTCGAGGATCCTGTCTTTAACCGGCTCTGGATAGAGGTAGTGGTGTGGTCTTTCCCGGATTTTCGGACCGCTCAGTGTGTCAAATCTCCTCGTGTTCTGCGGAAGAGGAAGCCGGTTAAAACTTCTCGAGTATTCAGATTCTTATTGGTATTTTATACGCAGGATGTAGGTTATCATGAGACTTTTTGGGCTGGTGTGCTGTGTCAAACTCCTTGTACTTTTCTTTTGACGTCTTACGGCTATATGTCCCCGACCTTTCTCCATACAAAACGGATTACTATGAATTATTTTCTACACTAAATAACCATGAAACTTTGTCCATAGGATAAAGCTACTAATATCAATATTTCACAATTAACTGAAAACATTTTGCTGTATGTAGTGAACGATCTGAAATACGCGAAAATAACCAAAAAAGCACTCTGTTTAGCTGTTTCGAAAGAACAATATAAGATCGTACGAAAATTTAAAAAATATTCAAGGCATTGGAATTTTAATGAATTTTCAGAATAACAAAAAAATATATTTATATTAGCCGATTAAAGCGAAACTTAGAAAGTAAAGAAAGAGAAGTTTAGTTTATAGTATGCACTTATAAAATGTATTTAAGTTTACCTATCAGCTGTCTGGTACTCAAAACCCAAGCTCTGATCATCTTGGAACTAGACGGCGCTGTGTAAATTGTCTTGGGTTATTGTAGTGTATGTGGGAAAGTGAAAGGAGCATTATGTCTTCTCTATCGCACATTGCTGGCGTCATGTAGGCATTAAGGCGTGAAAGGCAAGTGAAAACAGTAGAGTACAGCCACACACTATATTTGGTCGCGTTAATTTGTGGATAATTAGTAACGAGTAAGATCAACCTTAGGGCTTCGCCGGATCCTGTTATGTTCGGTATCTCCTTCCCTATGTGAGTCCAGGTATGCTTCGATCTTCGACATGTCATATGGAGACCAGGTATCCTCTTCGGCACGGTACCCGTAATCAGGCACTGAATTCTGTAATATAAAGAACTTAGTTTTAGGATAGCGTGGAAAAGAATATAAATAACATTTACATTTTTTGTTAACTATTCTATTGCTGTTGGCCATAGCTGGCCTTTACAGCTTCACCGGACGATAGGGGGCGACTGCAGATGGCATTCCAAACCCGCGGAAGATCTTCTGGAAGCTACTAAAGGCCAACTCCTCCCTGACGGATATGGCGTTATAATGAAGGTACAGCTAAGGGTTCGAACCTCGGCTCAGACCGTCACCATTTCGATCCCCGTTTGAATTGTATCTATCGGAGGATTACTGGCTTTAGTTTATGGAATGTCAAACAAGCTGACTGTCCACCTGATGGTAAGTGGTAACCGTCGCCTATATACATGAATAGTAACACAGACATCACTTTATTATGACACTCTATTTCCATTTTGATAGGTGTTTATTATCAATGGATGATAATGGAATGGTGCACCCGCCTGCGCTAACGGTATACGTTGGCGGGGCACCAGTGGAGGATGATAGGATGAACATGAAGTCAGATCAGTTAGCCCAACATGACAAATTCATCAGGAATTTATCACGATGGTTTCCAGGGGGAACCGCGTGGAGGTCGACCAGACATGGTACATTGCTAGCAATGGGATCATTAGTGCACATTACTAACAATCACCTCCCCCCTCTATTTGATAGGTAGGAACAGGTACAGTTTCAAGTTTAATAATAATAAACTAAAAAAATCTACGAATAGGGCGTTAGTGGAAGATAGGTTAGGTAGGATAGGACAAGGATAATGTCCGGTGCTTTATAACTTAGCATATAGGTATATATAAAAGCGTAATTATGTGTGAGTAATAAGCAAATAAACGATTTATATATCTAAATAATTTATTTATCTATATCATGACATAATCCAGGAGAAATCGCGGAAGTCGAAATGATATGGTAAAGCAATGGGGCAACTAGTTTCCATTATTATGTCATTCCACTGTTATGTTATCTGTGATACTACTGCCACAGATAATATATATTGTTACTAAAATGTATAATCGTATAACAATACATTTTAATCGTTGTCATAAAAAAATTTATGAACTGTATGGGACACAGTTACCTAGATATATCGCTGTAATAATTGTAGTTAATAATGGCTAATAAGACAAATCGAATATTGTCTACTAAGCACTGCAGTGTCTAAACTGTATCACCCCATCTTTGATTTTACTATTGTTATTTAGTATATAAGATCAATATTTTTATCTGACACTCGCACTGCCAACTCTCAATAAAATAGCAGAAACAACATTGTATGTTATATGTTATATTAACGAATATGTATAATCTATATTATACATATTCGTTAATATAACATATAACACAAGCCAAATACAATAGTGTATCTAATTCTATAATTAGATACACTATTGTATTTGGCTTAGGCCTGTAATAATAGTTGTGTAAGTAAATAAATAAATAAATGTACATGATTGATCCCTCGTTCAATTCAAACGGGGATCGATATTACGACGGCCTGAGCCGAGGTTCGAACTCCTAGCGGTGCTCTCAGACTAAAGTCGTAATCCGTCAGGCGGGAGTTGGCCTTCAGTCGCTCCATAAGTCCATCCGCGGGTTTGTAGTGCCATCTGTACTCGCCCCTTATCGTCCGGTGAAGCTGTAAAGGCCAGCTGCGGCCAATAGCATTAGAATAGTCGAAAAAAAATGTACATGTTGTCAGTCTATTATCATCTGTATATACATCGTCTCAATCGACAACATCGTATTATTACCCCGCAACAAACTGCATGACCCGATTTGCTTGCAGCCATTAATACAAATAGGCGCGAAAACCAATTAACTAACCTTGTCGTGTGGAGATTTTTTGGGTGCCATCATGTTGACTGGTTGCTCATAGATGTCATCTTGAACCTGAAATTGAAATTAAAATAACATTTTTATTCCCGCCGTTTTTTATTCTTTTTTATGTTATGTCCCGTCGTCTCTTTAGTAGGTGAGGCAATGGTCGTTTGGGAGTACAGCTTTCGTAGTCTGTATACAGCTATCCATGCTTTTTTCTTTTCTGTGACGTCAATACACATTATATTGTTGTTAGGTTTAGGACAATCACGAAACCATAATGTCATATCTTATTCTTGAAAATTCGTTTTGCATACTGATACTGAATACTTATTTTTTAATTTTTTTAGTTTTAATTTTTTTTTTACTTTTATTCTGTTGTTTCTTTCTCTAAACGACAATGGATATTTATGACGTTTTTTTATTATCATTTAGATATTTTGTTCCGGAAATTTTATATGTAAGTATGAGTATAAAACATGTATATGATAGTGTAATACATGTATAAGATGTCTACCTTACCTTACAGCATCCTAATAGCTTTCCATATTTCCTTTGCTATGGACATATTTTTTATACCATTGGAATGGCATTCAACCGATGGTATGCCAATTGATGGTAAACCGTAACCGATGCCTAATTATTATATATAACATGAATAGCATTACAGGTATCATGCCATCACGTGATATCCGTGAGACCACTCACCATTATAATATCACTGCCTAATTGGCAGCCTACAACCGGCAGCCGAAACGGCTTCCAAAGCAATCTGGATAAGTGAGAGAGAGGTATTCACGCAATCGATCCCCCGTCCAATTCAAATGGGGATCGATATTACGACGGCCCGAGGTTCGAACCTAGGGGTCCTCTCAGACTAAAATCGTATTCGTCAGGCGGGAGTTGGCCTTCAGCCGCTCCATAAGTCCTTCCGCGGGTTTGGAGTGTCATCTGCACTCGCTCCCTATCGTCCGGTGAAGCTGTAAAGGCCAGCTGCGGCCAACAGGATTAGAGTAGTCCGAAAATATTTAAAAAAAAGACTAGTATAGTTGTATAATCTATTATAATATAACTTACATTCGGATAATTAAAGTCAAAAGTTGCACTCTGGTCCGATTTTGCAATCGATGCTGCAGACAGGAGCTGTAAAAGATTTGTATAAGATCTCTCAAAAATACAATAAAATGCAAATTTTATCGTATTTTTCAAATTCAAAAATAATTTATTCATGTAGAACATTCTAGCCGCTTATGAACGGAAAATTTTTTATATTATAATATTTTTCCTACCGTCCAGTTCAGTATATAGATTCAGAATCAGATTTCAGATTTATCTATTTAAAGGTTTAGTGCGTTAGTTACAAACTTATACGAGACAATAGTAAATATTAAGATTAATATAAATTTGACATTAATGTGATACAATATATTAAAAAATTTACTAAAGTTCTTCTAGATTTCAAAATTGATTAATCGACTATTCCTTTTGACAATTTATTATAGGTATATCATTAATAGCAATGGAATGCAGCGTTCTGCGCTAAAGATAAGGCTGGTCTCGAGAAACCCTCGAAACTCAGAAGCTAGATAACCCTAAAAACTCGTGATCCATCATTCCATTTAAACATGGATCATAAGACATCTTTTTCCGAGGTCTGTACAGTGGTATCCCCCAGTCGTCAGTTGACTTAGCATTCAGCCACTTCAGTGAAGCTAATGTAGTCCGAAATAAAATATTAGTGTACATTATTTATATTATTAACCGGGTCTTAACACGAATAATTTTATGGCAAATAAAGGTATTTATATACTCTCTCTACATTTCGACTATTTCGCACTAGCCATGGTTACGAGCTGACTGAGGTAACAGCGATGTCAATGTAGATAGCTGACAGCAGTTTTTTCATCTACCGTCACAAGATTGTTCAACGAAAGTTCGCGGCACACAGCACTAGTATCCGTACCGTACACTTATTGACTGTTGATGCTATTGAACTTTGCTTGAATTTATTTAGGACTGGTTTCTACGAAGAAGATAATTTTAAACCATCGTCTCTGTTGAAATTGGAAAGTTTATTGTTTTAATTTTAATCGCTTCCCGGACCATTAGTGGATAATAGTGGAGACCAGTAGAGAGGAACTTAGGCGCATGTGGTTCAATCCCGGTTAATAATTAAATAATATAATAATAATAATAATATCTCAGGACAATTCACACAGCGCCATCTAGTCCCAAGCAAAGCAGAGCTTGTGTTATGGGTACTAGACAACTGATATAAATATATGGATATTTTTTTTATAAATAAATATATATTATACATAGAAAACACCTAGACCGATACAAACAATCATACTCATGAATACAAATGTTTGTACCGTGCGAGGAATCGAACCCACGACCATCGGATACTAAAGCGGTGTGCTAAACCACTAGACCACCGAGGCCGTCAATAATAAACAAGTTTAAATAAAATAGTAAATTGATTCATCAAATATTAATATTCTTTCTCACCAATCCAAATAAAAACATTAAAAACATTTTCCATTAAAAACTGTACCCGTCGCTCGATGGAAAGCGACTGATTGCCAACTCTCGTAAACAAATGGTCACAAAGTAATTGGTTATTAGTTAAATTGATTCCATTGTTATTATATAAACCACAATAAAACTGGGGAATAAATTTTACACAGCAACGCTTTTTTGTATTTTTTAACAACTTTTCAACTTCACTAGTTTAGCCCTTGACTTCGAACGCCTAGCTGAGCGAGTGCGTATATAAAACACAAAATATAAGTTATATAACATTTTTTTTTTGTCTACTCCAATGCTGTTAGACAGATGGGAAGGGAATTGTTAGTAATGTGGTCTCATGAACCCGTTACTCTCAATGTACCATGTCAGGTTGACCTCCACGCGGTTCCCCCTGGAAACCGTGATAAATTCCTGGTGAATTTGTCACGATGGGCTAACTGACCTGACCTCATGCTCATCTTATCATCCTCCACTGGTGCCCTGCCAGCGTAAACCGTTAGCGCAGGCGGGTGCACCATCCCATTATCATCTATAAAAAAATGCTGTTAGCCGCAGCTGGCCTTTACATTCCTTTGGTATTTACTCTTTGACATTACAGCTTAACCGGACGATAGGGGGCGAGCGCAGATGGCACTCCAAACACGTGGAAGGACTTATGGAGCGGCTGAAGGTCGACTTCAACCTGACGTGTGCTTGACATGAAAAAAAACGAATTCATTGGTATTATTATACATATAAAAAAGAGCTCTGAAGTAAAATTACAAGAAAATACAGTAGACTTGTGAGTATCCTACTATTTTTGCTCGTCGTCGGTCGAAAATACAAATATTCAGTCGGCCATTTTGCATTTCTGAAACACTGCACGCTCTTACAAGGAAAGTGGGAAGTCGGAGAAATTAAAAACGAAGGATACAAAAATATATTTACTAATAAGGAGCAAAATACATATATTCATAGACTGCTTAGACTGCGAGCTTCGGGCGTAGAGTTTAACTGAATCCTAGATGAAAATCTGTCCCGCCATGCTGCTCTCTTGTTGGCAGGTGTATCTGAAAACATAGACAATATTTTTTTATTTAACTGAAACGGCAAAAGAGCTAACGGCCCACTATGTGGTAAGAAGCAATCTTCATATATAATTTTTAGTGGAATATTGCACCCGTCTGTGCTAACACTTCATCAACCGCCGTATTCGCATCTTCGGCCCCTTATGCTTATACTTTTTTAATAACCCTACCATCCAGTACGGACAGCTACTTCAGTTGAGAAGAACTGACAAAAAATCAACTGGTACATTTTTTCACCTATTTTTTTTAACACTGGACAATTAGCACAGCGCCATCTAGTCCCACGGTAAGCAAAACTTGTGTTATGGGTATTAGACAACTGATATACTTACGTTTTTTTTTTTGTAAATACATACATTATATATACAGAAAACACCCAGACCGATACAAACAATCATACTCATGAATACAAATGTTTGCATCGTGCGAGGAATCGAGTCCGCGACCACCGGAAGTAAAGCGGTGCAATGTGCTAAACCGCTAGATCACGGAGGCCGTCAACTATGATTTTTGTGATTACTTTCGATATTTAAAAATGTACATAGCATTCAAATAGTGTAAAACTATTATATTTAATGTATCGAAAATCCCTTATCTAAACAAATAACAACAGGAATTTATACAATTTTAAACCATTTTACAAGTAGAAATACGTACCTTTTTGTTTTCCCATAGCACAGATAACATAATATTACATACCCATAGGAAATATAGGGAAACCACGGTCGATATTCCCTCGTTCGCCATTCACTTTGATCAGTTTAACTCGTCGTGTGGTCAACTGAAAGGATAATCGAGAGAACTTTGGCGATAGCATCACTTAAATTACCTTCAAATTTGAAGACTGTTTGACATTTGAAAATGGAAAAAATATTTTTTTTAATTACACGAGCAAATCGTTTGATTACTTACTTGTATATAATATAATTTCAATATAGAAATATAGATTTTTTTTAATCTGTGGGTTTTTGAAAAATGTAGTTATTATATTTTAGAAGACTATAAAAACAAATTATATTATATTGTTATCTGTCTTCTAAAATCGGTCTCTTATGATGGGCATCGTATTAATCGAGAACAAGAGACCTCACTGTTAGCAATGCATCTGATCTGATGCAATCCTTAAACAAAACTTCTCCAGGAAATCATTCTTCCATTGGAACTGCACAGCTCAGGCGGAATTATCATTCCATATTAGATTGCATTAAAAACTCTTACTCTTTCATGTTCAAATTGAAAATAAGATACCAAACACTTAGGCATTATAGTCCAATCAAAAATTCTTGCGCATTTATAAAAAAATTGCCGCGAAAATTATTCGTCATTTTTTTTTCTTTCGTAATGGCTTGGCACTATAGTGCATTTGGCAACATTAAAGTTTGGGAAACTATAGGATTTGGTATAGGCACAGATAATATAATATTACATAGTATAGGATAATTTTGGATTTTGGGATACGGATCAGAGAAGTTAAGGAGAGATATGAAATAAATATTTGAAGATTAAGTATATATTTACAATATGTGCCATTTTAAATCTTGTCTATGGTTTGAAAGCAATAAAATGTGTGGTTTGGGTACGTTTATTCTTATCAGAGAATTAGGTATTAACAATGCTATTAAAATGAAATATTGTAATTACGGAATATCTATATTTGAGGAAATTACAATTTAGATAAGGTGGAGCTACTTATTTTACTAATAAGTAATGTGTATTCGATTGTTACGTTACGGCGTTAAATAAAGAAAATTGCGTAAGTAGGTATCTCAGATATGTTTTTTATATACATAATAACAAAATTGTAGACATTGTACGATGGCTTTCGATTCAGGAATAAGATAAGGTAGTAAAAATCATGGGGAGCATGACGGCTTAGTTCTGTGGAATAATAATAATAAGAAGACGACACGTTCTATCCACAGAACAGGGAAATTCTATTGATGTGTGATTTAACAAGAATATGAATATGAAATGTAAATTAATTGAGAATAGTTAAGGTACTGTACTGTACTTTTAGATCTATAACATGTGATATGATTGTGTGAATAGGATGTTTTTTATGTTTAAGAAAAGAAATCCTAATTCAACAGAAGAATTCCTATTTTTAGCTAAATATTTCCATAATTAATTATAATGATATAAATGCCTAGTTTTATTATAATGGCACGTAGATAGACTGGATAATAATATTTAATCTTTAATCTTAAAAATTAATAGAGTCGGCTATATATATTTTATAAACTGCAATCAATTCTTAATTTATGTACTGTACGCATAATTTTTCTTTTTTTTGTTTCAGTTTCATGTTAAGCACCATAGATAAAGCCTCGCAAACCTAAGAATTTCGGTATGATCTGGAAATATATAATCATTGTGATAATTTACCTTCTACTAAACGTTACAAATATTAAATCATATGAAGAATACAGCATCGAGAAAGACCTATACAACATACTATATCCGAACTATATGAATTTTAGCGACGTATATATGCTACCTCTGGATAATAAGGTCGAAAAAGTCGATAACAATAAAGGACCGGAACCTATTCATCTCTTAGAAATGAAGGTACTTTCTCAATTGATGACATCAAACAGTACCGATATTGTATCTAATGATTTAGACAAATACATGACTTTATCGACTATAATGAACAACACTAGACGTGGCGGTTTCGCCATCGACTACGGCGACCATGATCGTGAAGATCCCGGCCCTATGGAGGACGAAAAAAAACAGATTCTGATAAACATTAATCTGCAGTTTATAATACACACAAGATATATAATCGCCAAAGCTATGAAGCTCAAGGAACAGATCAGAACAGACAAACGGTACCGATTGGGATACTTATTTAACAGGATGAGACGACTTAAATATGAGCAATTGAAGGTTATGACAAGTGCAAGAGACCAAAACACGAGCGAGTCGCGTCGATTAGAGTCGGCACTACGGTTCTATGAGAAAGTAATTCGTTTTGATATCGATATGAGAGACACAGCGGCACATATTAAAGAGGTATTTAAAGAGAAGGCATTATTCGATACATTGTAATTGCTGTGTTTATGTTTTAGAAGAAACAAGTCCTTACTCTATAAAAACCTAAATGATACGCGCGTGACTTACAATTTTAAAATGTTCAGACGGCGAACACTTGAAATTCCTTAACATAGCATGATGAAATAAAATGGCAATATTAAGTTTTGGACTTTATTTTTTTTGTAACGGCAACACTCTCTGCAGTTTGTGGTTAAAATTATAGCTCTTGAGTAGTATTATATATTCTTTGCATTATAGTTATTACAAATATTAGTCAGATATATAATATTAGGTAATAAAATTTTATGCCTTGTTAACTAGCCTTATTCATAATAATAAAACATCAATACATGAACTGACAGTACATTTATAATGCTGTCGTTCCAGTAGCACTTGTACTTAGGTGATACAGTTCATATGTGTACATGCAAGAGTGTTTTAGTATAAATAATAAAAACGTAATTAAACTAAAACAAAAAAGAATTAATATATCTATTATAGATGACATAATTAAGGCGAAACATGACTTTCGCTGGATATATTTAAATGCAAAAATACTTATGAGCATTGCAACGATAGAACTAGCGCACTTTTAATATTACAAACTGACATATAGACAGACATAATTTCGCATTAATAATACTAAGCCATCCGTATTTTGTATTAAAATAAATATTTGGCTAATTGTAGTATAATTTTATAGTTGTAGTATAACCTAAAAGAGATTCAGTAAGTATGAAATGACAAGTTAAAAGTAATTTATTAATCTTATTTATTCTCTTTACTTGAAAGTATTTATACCATTGAACAATATATATAATAAGTCTATTACATAACTTCATATCGCTTCTCACTTACCAGATATATCTATATAAGAAATTTGTCGTATCTATACATAATCGCTTATTGAATAATTCATTATTAAGCTACAAAGTACCTTTATATATGTAGTTAGACCATACAAACGTAGTGATAAGTTGCTTAGTATCGTAGTTTTTTTCTAATACAATAATAATGGCAACATTATAAAACCATAGACAAAGCGTCAAACACCAAATCATATGATCGCTTTTCACATGACCGATGGTCATTCGACATCTTTCATTTTTCATCTTTTTATGACAAATCGGGACCGAAAACTTAATTTTTAGTCCACAAACGTCCATTAGTGTAGTTAATCAAAATGGCGCGCAGCCATATAGTGTTCCTTACGTTAGTTTTAAGTGTGGTGTCTACTTTGAGTACGGAGGTGCCTGTATTTCTTTGGGGCGATTTGCCTAAAACTTCCTTGAAATCCAACCCCTTATCGACGGTTAGCGCCAGCGAATTCGGCACCATCCTGAAGCAGGAGCTACTTAATGATCCTTTCACTGTGATTTTTGTAGAGGAGAACTTGTCAGTTGAGGATTTCTCAAGGAGAGACTTAGAACTCGGCGGTGATACTTCGTATCCATATTTACATGCAAATCTGCCTGATTCCTACTACCTACCATCAGTGGAAGATCCCATTAAAGTGCTGAATAGTCTAGCCGACCCCGAGAAAGTGAGTCATGTGATATTGACAGAAAATGGATTGTCTGCGGATATCGAATCAGATAGCGGCAGATTCCTATTTATTAACATGAATGATGCACGGGAAGGCGAGTCGAGGGCGAGCCTGCTCCGTCGCCACAACAATTTCTTGGAAAACACAATCACTAAACTGCAGGATAGGTACAATTCTGTTATTGCAGTATACACAGCCCACTATCCATCATGGACGGTTCCAGAAAGCCACTCGCGTGTCCGTCGTCAGGCGCAGCCAGGGTCACCCAATGACTTCATCTTGGACGGCCTTCGTTTCTATGTTAACGCAATTCAGGTCACCAATGCAAACAGTGTTAAGAACCTCACTACATTGACGAACAGTTCAAGCATTTTTGAGAACACGAATGGCACTTCAATGACCACTACACTTGACTTTTTGAATGAAAATACAAAAATTACGTTGAATTTCAAATCTGCGTCTGGGTATTGGTCCCTTGGTAAGTGTTTCGTCTAAACCAATAGAAAATATGCAGTTATACTCCTTAAACATATGGTTTGGCTACAGCTATTGTTACTCTTGGGGATGAGTTGCACCATCCAAGGCAGTATTCCCCAACCTTTTAGTGCTATGCTCCTCTTTAGCCTATCTAAAATTCTTATGACAGACATCTTTTGTTAATTGAATTTTTACGTGTATTTATATACATAGCTATTTTTAGTATACTAGTTGTACTCACGGTTTCGCCCACATGAAATTTATAGCCCATATGTTATTCTGATGTATAAGATATATTACTGTAAAGTTTCAACAAAACCCATTCAGTAGTTTTTGCATGAAAGATCCATGTAGGTCCAGCCACAGTTGGTATATCATCCGCCCACCATATTGAAGCTAAGCATAGAACCAGCTGTTAACATTTTGTCCTGATGTGAATAAAAATCCAATTAGTTAAATATAAACTAACAGGAACACAGTTACTGCAAAATATATGTATAGCTAGAAAAATTTGTAAACGTAAAAGTTACCAGTAATAAAGGCTATTATTACAGTGGAACCCTGGTAATCTGGCCCCTGTCTATCCGGCCTATTCGGCCTATCTGGCCCCCCTTGCAATTTGACATGGTCTATTATTTATTATTGTTTTTTTTTATAATATTCCCTAAAGCATTACTAAACACGTTTGAACTTGTACGCATCACCACTGTACAGACGTGTAGGGTATTGTTTTGATTATGATTGCTTAGTTTGAATTTAATATGAGATGAAGATAGCGGAAAATACTGACAATTAAAGAAAAATATGATATATTAGACCACCTACATCCTAAAGAAACTTTTCCAGTGTATTATTATTTTTCTGTTATATATGTTTTATATATCCCTTTTTACAGGGGTAATACATTCAAACTCGCGGGTCTATTATTATTATTGTTATAGTATGGTTTATTTTCACTACTTTTGCTGGGTTATTATATATATATATTTTATATATCTCCCTTTGATGGGGTGTTCCACTCGTCTATTATTATCACCCTCATTATTCAGGTTTTCTTTTTTTTTACAGATTCAGTGTTATTGGATGCTGACAATGTTAAAACCAACTTGATATCTGGTGATGGATTCAACACAGAGGTGTATGCTCTCACTAACTTCTCATACAGATGCGCTGACAATGTCGCCTTCAGACATAGAAATGACACCAAGCTTGGAGTTAACTTTTTGAATTTGAAGGTAAGTCTCAGCAGTCTAGCAGTTTAGAATACTGCTTTATTTCTGGTGGTCAGAAGTTTGATACATGATGACCTTGCATGTATGCATCACATTTATATTTATACTAGTTGATCCTGCAAATGTTGTTTTGCCATATAAATTAAATCAGTATTAAATAATAGGGGTTGGCGATAGAAGAGTGAAATTTAGGGTTGTATGTGTTTTTTATGCCGCTTTATAAAAAAAAAACAAAAAATAAATGTTAGGAGTGGATAACATTTATCAATTAGGGATATGAGAAATAGATAGTCGATTCTCAAACCTGCTGAAAATGCATATAAAATTTTAATAAAAGTCGGTCAAGCCGTTTTAGAGGAGTATGGTAGCTTGCATTGGTCTGGGTTTATTCTATCTATGTTACATAGGCATTTATAAAATAAAATGTATGTATTTATATCAGTTGTCTAATACCCGTAACAAAAACTGCTTAGTTTGCGACGAGATAGCAGTGTGTGAATTTTCTTGGGTTATTATTCCACTTAAATAAAAAGAAAAATATTATTGGCTATGCATCTGCACAGGCTCTACAGTATACCTCTGGCTTCATATGGATTACTAATACTGTTTTTAAATATAGAATAACTATTGTTTCGGAATACTTAAGTAACATTTTATCTAGGACCCTATACTAGGCTCTGCCTGTATAGTGGAAGTCAATTTTGATATTTCTTCTTTTAATTTGAATGGCTTCCACCAATTGAAGTCGGTGATTTTGCCAACGTAGTGGTTAGCGAAACAGTGGTGTGGTTTACTGTTTAATGTGAAATAGAAATAATCTTTATTCAAATAAACTCATTACAAGCACTTTTGAATATTTTGATTCTACCACTCATTCGAAATGCAGATTCACAAGAAGAATGAGCAAGAAACTTGGTGTTGCTCTTTTTAATAGATGTTTTTTTATATAAATAATTACAGTATAACAAGTAAGAGGCATGCGATAATCAACATAGAAAACGCTACGCACTCATTATTAGTGTAATCAGATAATATTGTCAGTGCTATAGATTTAAAGTTTTTCTATAAAAGTTTTTTTGACTGTTCGTAAAAGTTACGACTGTTTCATTTGGCTGAGAATGCTAAAAATAAGGACAACACAACATATGGTAGCTTACAGATTTTGATATTTGTAATGTTAGTTGTGTTCACTCATGATTTTTTTAATAATTCCCAGATACAACCCTTCTTTGCCACTTTGAATGCCTCCGACATGAACTATGGTGACTCTTTCAACTGCTCCGGATTCTTCTCCGCACCGATATGGTCCGGTTTGTTTGTGGTGTTCATCCTCCTGATCATCACCTTCTACGGCATCATGAACATGATGGACATCAGGACCATGGACCGCTTCGACGACCCCAAGGGCAAAACCATAACGGTCAATGCTCTTGAGTAAAAAAGTGTCTATGGGATTTTCAGCTTTTGCGCTAAGGTTTTATTTTATATAGCAATTTTTAAAACTCTATTAAAATTCCTGATAGATAAGTGGTAATAATGGTGGATCTATCAGGATTTTTCCTGTTAGATAAATAAACACAAAATAGCAACATTTGAATGCCTTAATCGTTAATATAATAATTTCTGTGAAAAATAAATAAATGTAAGACTAATATATAAAATGTAGAGTATTATAAGATTAAAAGTAATATTGTGCTTTATGAAAATATAACCTAAAGTTTAGATTCAGTTGTATATAGAATATACACTGAAGGCCTAATTTATCGCTGAATATCCCAAGCGGTTAATGTAATATAGTATTTATTTAATATACATTAAGATATAAAGTGATTTGTATATCCAATGTTATTTCCAACAAGATGGTTTAATAAAATGTAATAGAGTAATTGTTATGTATAGGGCCAGAACATAGCTTGAAAAACTAACAAGAACTACATGTCTGCATTCCAAACTGCGGTCAAGTTTAGCTTAGATATATACATTAAAAGAACCTCTTGAATACCCTTTTTTTGTATAAAAACCGATAAAAAGAACCTTTTGAATATCCTTTTTGTATAAAAATGGATCAAAAGAACCTCTTGAATATCCTTTTTGTATAAAAGCGGATTAAAACAACCTCTTGAATGCAGTATTAGTATTTCCTAACTTTTGTTTAATTGATTATGGCTGACTTTAATTGCTTATTGTATGAGTGTTTTGATATTTTAAGAACCATAGACAAATTTGTGTTGCTTGACGCTCATATGATTTCAATTTTGTCACTCATTTTTTTTTTGTTATGTGTGAAAGTTACTAATAAGTCATTCTATCTATCTAAGCTGTAAGTTTGGACTACGAACAATAATTCATGTAATTTGAAATTTGAATTGTTATCTAATTGTGCAATCGTTTCTAACTCACTAATAATCATATAAGTTAAAATGAGACGAATATATAAAGTTTTGTTGCTATTTTCGTCCGGTTTTATATTGCCTTAATTATTGTTCTTAGGTTGAGGCTATGTTTGGCTCTATCGCTCTTATGAGGTCAATAATTCCAAAACCATTTTACAGCTTGAGTCGTTTTATGCACTGACTTTTTGCACACACTATGCCGCTTTGAAAGTATTATTCCACTTTGGAATAACACTTTCAAAGTTTTGATCGTTTGTTACTGTTCAAAAAGTGGCCGCATAATTTCTCGTTAGTGTAATTGTTATTAATTCTTAATTAAAGTATATATTATAAATGAACGGTGCCTCTTTTCATAATATAGACAATATTCCGATGGTAGGTTTGTTACCACTGAGGCGTAGATATAGCTCGTTATATTGTAAATAAACGAAATAAATACAAAACGAAACGAAGTGATCAATAAATAATATAAACAGTATATTTTTCTTTTTTTTCTGTTCTGTGATGTTCTCGTAACTTTCGCCGTATAATTAAAATGTACGCGGAAAGTTTTTTCAATTTTGATTCCGATCGAATTAAAATTGTGTTCGTAATAGTATTTTTTTGTTTGGTGATTAGAAAAATTCCTTCCAATTATAGTATTATTATGGACCAATTTTTTTTTCTAACAAAATATGTATTCCATAACCTGACTTTCGATATGACATCCTGTTTACCAGTAACTATCTATATAATTATTTGTCTGCAATTATATTCATATTAACTATGGGTTAATGGTAAACATCAACCCGAAAATCAGGTAGAATATATATTCTACCTGATTCAGTTACATAACTGAACCTCTTCCAGAAAGGACTAAAAAACATGAAAAGTATTTCTAAAAGTTTCCATAACACATTGATCACACTCCTCATTTCAATTTACCACTTTATAATTATCGGATTAGAGTAGAAAAGTTCTTTATTCAAATAAATTTATATTTGAGCACTTGAATAGGTGACACTTTTTTTTAATCTACCACATTCGGAAAGCACAAGATGAACGAGAAAAAGTCTTGCATGTTTACACTTTTAAAAAAATATGACAAGATTTTTAAATGAAATTACACATGAATGAAAACTACCAAAATAGCACATTATTAGACTTAAAATATTAAATAACTAAAAATATTCAGTTGAATGAATAGGTACATACTATCACTTGTTAGCGATTGTAAATAGGCTTTTAATGCTTCTTAAAATATATTATTTTTGAAAATAGAACGTCACGCATAAAACTTTTTTTTTTTTCCCATGTTCGTCCATCTAACACACGCATAAAACTTCGTATTTGTTTTGTTTTTTTTTACACATTCTCGAACATTTGCGACTTTAGGTACAAACAAATATAACCAGGGGAAAAAGTATTTAACAATTCTTTTTTTTTTCTAAAATAAGAGTCTGCAATGTTTGCGTTTTATTAACAGTCGTTGATAAAGGATACATGTATCCTTTTGCAATATAAGAGGAGTTATTTTGAAGTACTGCAGTAAATAATTTGAAATTGTATATAGAACTTTATCATAATATTATATTGAACATGAAATATAGTTAAGGATAGTACAAGAATTTTCACGGTAATAAAATCCATCCATATTGGTGCCAATCTGATATTACGAGTGATTCCAATCGATTTAATTATTCTATTGTATGTCTAAATTAGGGGTCATACATACATTTCATCACACATTAATTGTCCACGAAGTGTGACGAATAATGGCACGTTTTTTTATGGATGATAATGGAGTGGTGCACGTGCCTGCGCTAACGGTTTACGCTGCCGGGGCACCAGTGGAGGATAATAAGATGAATATGAGATCAGGTCAGTTAGCTCAATGTGGTAAATTCACCAATAATTTATCACGATGGTTTCCTGTGTACCACGTGGAGGTCGACCTGACATTGCTAGCAGATTGCTACACAGTACTATGTAATATTATGTTATCTGTGACAGTACTAACAATCCTCTTCATCCGAATAATGACATGTTTGGTCAAGGCACAATTCAATTTAAGATCTAAATAAAAAAAATATTAAAAACATCGACGGAAGAAAGTCAAAAAACTGTTTCAAAAATTCGTAAGTCATATATTTATCGAGATAGAAAGTTGAATATTGGTATGTGAAATGTATAATAATACTTGACCAATTTATGAATTTTTGAAAGAAAAGGATATAAAATAATTTTAGTAAGTTGGGATTTTCATGTTACGACAATTTCACTTTCTTACGTCGATATGTAGTTCTACTTAAATGACAGTAAGGTTTAAATTGTTTTTAAAATATGTTATGTCACACTAGGAGGCGAATTAGTGACAAATGTGACGAGACGCGAGTAAGCCGAGGAGATTATACATATATAGATCTATTATCCTTTTTCAGAGTTCGCTACTATTCGTTTTATTCTCAGAAGCGATGGTTTTTATCTCTTCAGGATAGAATGCAAAGTGTGTCGAGGGTATTATATGTAAATATGCAATGTACGAGTATGTATGGCCTCTCACAACTCAATTTATGATAATGTACTATTATTAAGTGACCCTTACAATTATTATTAAATATATAATTTTAACAGTTTTAGATATATAAGATGCTTATAGCTGAAAGTATTAAAAATATATTTATAACGCTAAAAATAAAACTTTACTCGCTGTAAATGTATTTTAATGTACCTACCAAACTGTATATATTAAAAATTATTACAAGTAAAATTACAGTAATAATAATCCTGGATAATTCACACAGCGCCATCTAGTCGTCAAGGTAAGCAGAGTTTGTGTTAAGGGTGCTAGACGGCTGATATATATACAAAGATCGATCGATTTTTTTTAAATACATACATAATATACGTAGAAAACAAAGACTGATACAAACTATCATATTAATAAATACATACCTTTGCACCGTGCGAGGAATCGAATCCTCGTCCAACGGAAGTAAAGCTGTGTGCTTATTGCGTCAGGTCGACACCCATGGATATCATCGTGGTTAACTTTTCTATTAATTAATTATTTACATATGTATATTCCGATTTAAACAAACAATTAAAGCTTTTTAAGTACTTTTATTTCAATTATATTATAACAAACATTGCGACTTATTCGCTATGCATTCACTTAAAATCAACTGGGTGTGTTATATTTTCACGGCTAAAACGACTCAACTGATCATAATTTTGAAATGAAAATAAAACTCTACTACAACAGACATAAAGTATCTATAGTAAAGTAATCTGGTAGCGGCTGAAATAGGGATCAAAGTTTATACACTTACACAAACTTTGATCCCCAATTTTGCTCCTAGTTTAAAAACAGAATAGGGGATCAAACTTTATCCACTTACACAAACATTGTTCTCCTATTTCCACCCTTAGTTTAAAAATAGAATAGGGATCAAAATTTATCCACTTACACAAATTTTGATTCCCAATTTCGCCCCTAGTTTAAAAACAAAATAGGAATCAAAATTTATTCATTAAACAAACTTCGATCACCTATTTCACTCCTAGTTTCTAAACAATTAATGTTGATCTGTCATCACCAACGGCCGTCCGTATGGATCATCAAATCTGTCGTTAGATGCACAATTATATAGTGAAACTACACCGTAAATTAAAACAATTAGGCAAATGCCAGTTATAAAGAAAGCAGATAAAATGTGGATATTAAAGTACGGTCCACAATTGACCGTCTTTCCGAAGCCTTTGCTCTCGTCTGAGGGTATTTTGTCACCACCCCTAGCAATAACAGGGCCTTGACTATTATTGTCGTAGATCCTTGCCAAGTTTCTCATAGATCGTGTGGTGCTCCAGCGGCGAAGTGGCTGTTTGTAGCAGTCCTCACCAGGGTAGCATAGGTCAGATTTAAATGGTTGGATCTGTGGAATTTATATCCAAATATATTAGAGAAAGGGGATTGTTAGTTAATGTGGACTGATGACCCTATTTGTAGCAGTATCCATGTCAGGTAGACCTCCAAAGAAATCTAGAATAATGAAGTTTTTAAACTGTGAGCGAGTACACGAGCATTTGCTCAGATTTGTTGGCATACTAGCGCCCCCTACGATGGGAACAAAGTCTTCTTGTACTCGGACAAGGTTGAGATTGGTTGGAGGTGGAGGCAGTTATCGCAGAGCCATGTAAAGAATCATGTCTGCTTAAAAATAATAATATTGTTTACTTAATAAATTAAATAATATGAAACCCTTTAGCTTAGCCTATCTACGAGTTAAATAAGTGAGATAGGATGGATGAGAATAACAAAGTAATGAGGGGGGAGGGGTTAGTAATGTGAACTAATAACCCCATTGAGGGGGAAAGGGGATTGTTAGTAATGTGGATTGATAACCCCATTGCTAGCAATGTACAATGTCAGGTCGACCTCCACGCGGTCCCCCCTGGAAACCATCGTAACAAATCCTGGTGAGCTTGTCACGATGGGCTAACTGACCTGACCTCATGCTCATCTTATAATCTTCCACTGGTGCCCCGCCAGCGTAAACCGTTAACGCAGGTGGGTGCACCATTCCATTATCATCCAAAAAAAAAATAACCCCATTGCTAACAATGTACCATGTCAGGTTGACCTCCACGTGGTTCCTCCTGGTAACCATCGTGCTAAATTCCTGGTGAATTTACCACGATGGGCTAACTGACCTAACCTCATGTTCAACTTATGATCCTGAAATGGTGCCGCCTCAGTATAAACCGTTAGCGCAGGCGGGTGCACCAATCCATTGTCATAAGAAAAAAATAGTGGTGCCGCCTCAGTATAAACCGTTAGCGCAGGCGGGTGCACCAATCCATTGTCATAAGAAAAAAATAGTGACGTCAGTCTAGCTGGCGTCACTATATCTAAAACCTAATTCCTGTGTCTGCTTCGACATAGGTATATATAAAATAAAAAATTAAATATTAATATTTTTCTACCTTGTACTGTTCAATGGTGACCGCGCTGCCATCCCTCGAGTTCAGGAGTACGAGCGGCTCCCCACAATAGTACGCCCACCTCCACGGAGCACCCACCGCCATCTCTGTACGACCCACTTCCTCACCCCCTTCCAGTAGTGCAACACTCTCTGAAAGACAGTTTTTTTTCGTGACCGACTGAAAATCAGCATTGCAAAAGTTATGTTCAAAGCATCTGCTGAGTCAGCCTCTTTTGCCAATAAATAAATCTATACCGCAGATAAAATAAATAAAATATCTAAAAAGAGAAATAAATTTAAAATAAAAGTATATAAAATAAAATAAAATAAAAAATAAAAGTAAATAAAATAAAAGTAGCCTAAATTACTGCTTACAATATTAGCTATCTGCCAGTGAAAGTATTGTCAAAATCTTTGGACCGGTCCAAATATTAGCAAGAACAAACAGACAGTTTTTTTTTACTTACCGAAAAGCTGTAATTTCAAATTACAGAGACTTTAATTTTATTTATTTCCATAGATTGTAAAACCAAAAACCAATGAGAAAAAGATCACAGTCTTACCGAGCAACCATCCATCTTTTTGGAAGCTAAAATTGAAGAGCAGGTCGAAATCCGTGTATGCCATTTTCGTGACAAGCTTCTCCCTCGTCCAGGTCTCGTCTGTCACCGCCGGCAGCTGGTTGAAGGTGGCGCGACGCGTCTGTGTTGCCATGTAAACCTCTGCCATAAATAAAAAGATTTAGACGGCCTCGGTGGTCTAGCGGTCTAGCACAGCTCCTTACTTCCGACGGGTTTGATTACTCGCACGGCACATTCATTTGTATTCATGAGTAGGAATTTTTGTATCGCGTGTTTCTATATAAAATACTCGCCCCGGCTTTGCACGGGTGTACATGTATTATACATAAACCTTCCTCTTGAATCACTTTATGTATCAAAGATACGCTTCAATATCCGTTGCGTAGTTTTAAAGATTTAAGCATAATACATAGGGACGGACAGACAGCGACAGCCACTTTATTTTATACTATGTAACGATAATGAGGTATGTCTTTCTGAAAAAAAAAATCCAGTATAGTACCCATAAGACAAGCTTTAGCTAGCTTAACTTGGGTCTAGATGGCGCTGTGCGAATTGTCCTTAGATTATTATAATTAAAAACTAAAAAAATAATTAGTATTATAGTACAGAACAAGCCGAGAAATTCAAAGATTCGTAATGCATCTGTGCAGAGCTGGTACACCCGTACCAGCTCTGCACAGCACGCTAATAATTTGTAAAAATGAATTTACCAGTGAACCGGAACAAAGCGCCATCAGTCTCGATCGTGACCCCGTTCCTTGCAGGTGGAGACGGTGAGATCGGGAAGAAGTACAACTTCTCAATTTCCACCGGATTAACTTTCCCCGTATAGAAAGCGAGTACAGGACCATTGGCCAATTGTCTGACAACAAAATACACTTCTGTCATGATCAAATCATGACGTCTAAGCATTTCCGCGCGCGTCTCGTTTACGCCATCATGGAAAAAAACGTAAATATATTTAAAACGTCCATCAAAAGTCTGCAGTTTCGCGCCAGAACTTAGGTGGTAAACGTTAAATTGTTGGGGACGGAAAACCTGGTACAGAAGTTTGTACGGCTCCACTACGCCGGGAAAATATTTCACTTTACTTTCTTGGATGCCCTTTCTTAGATGCAGATATGGCGTCCCCAATTTATCCTTTGTGGAAACATCTTCAATACAAAATAACTCTTCAACGAATAAAATGACCACTTCACTGAGTTTTATTGCTTCACGGACAACATTGGCGAAATAAGTTGTGCTTGTTTTAATAAATGGATTTGTATTCACAAATAAATGATCCATAACACCTTCATGGTCGATCAGGAATACTGGAATTGTATCTTTGTGGGCTAAATTTACTTTCGCCGATAGAACTATAATGAAATACATTAAAAACATTTTCCCGTTGTGTTATTTTGAAATGAAAATCAATTTTCTACAATACTGTAGCAAAAATAGACTTTCTTTTACTCTGCTACCTACTTATATGTCAAACAGATTATTCTTTTTATTAATTTGTTTATTTTTAATTAAAAGAGAATTTAATTTTAATAGTCAGTAGTTTATTTGAAAAAAATATCTTCTGACAGTAATAATATTTTTATTTATGTAGTTAATTGGTTCTTAAACAAGATTTTTTGTGTAAATCGATATTTACATTTTTCGACTAAAGTACTGATTACTAAAATAAATTTCTCTTTTACTTTGGAAACGGAAAGAGTCTAACCGTTTCTTACCGTTTCTTACCTTAAGGTTGCTTGTTGTAGGTCGATAGGTGTCAGCAGGTTGTTCAACTACCGTCACTAGATTATTCTTGTTAAGGGCTACTAATACAAGAGCATATAACCTCAAAGGTTTTTAATATTTTGACGTTGATCGTCACTATACTTTTTGTATTACAAGTTTACTAATGTTCATTAAGTGTGAGAATACACTATGATATGCTCATCATTTGTAGGCTTTGGAAAATTCAAATCGGAAGTTAATAAGTGAATTTATAAAAATTAAACTCTTACAAGATTTGCAACGAAATAACAATAGTCGAGAACGGATTTAAAAGGTCTTAGAAGCCTAACATCGTCAAAAGCAGGTAAAATGTTTTCAATGTAAGAAACTTTGGCATTTTATTATTTTTTTAGACTACTTTTGATGTGTCATTCGCAATCATTAAACACTTACGTAATGACACTAGCTGATCCGCGCAACTTCGCCTACGTTTCGTTTCCCCACCTTTTGCAATATTTTTCATTGCAGCTCCGCTCCTATTGGTCGTAGCGTAATGTTATATATGTAGCTTAAAGCCTTCCTCGACAAATGGACTATTCAACACAGAAAGAATTTTTCAATTCATTCCTGAGATTAGCGTGTTCAAACAAGCAAACTCTTCAGCTTTTCACTATATATTGTAGTCAGTTTAACTTAAAATTTTGTGTATATTTTATTCAAAGTAATAAGTTTTTTTTATTCACTATCATGTCTCATGAAGTCTCGGTTCAATTCTCATCTATACATCATCATCATCATCATCATCATCGCAGCCCGGAAGACGTCCACTGCTGGACATAGGCCTCCCCCAAAGATCTCCACGACGATCGGTCCTGCGCTGCTCGCATCCAATGCCTTCCCGCGATCTTGACCAGATCGTCGGTCCACCTTGCTGGAGGCCTTCCCACACTGCGTCTTCCGGTCCGTCTATACATATAAATAAAATTGTAGTGTCTGTTTGTAATATTGAAATAACCGTTTTACTACATGCATATGAACATAAATGCGGTACATATACCAAAAAACCACTTTTTACAATTTATGTCTGTCTGTCTGTCGGTCTGTTTGTTCCGGCTAATCTCTGAAATGGCTGGACCGATTTAAACGGGACTTTTTTGGCAGGTAGCTGAAGTAAGAAAAAGGTGTACATAGATAACTTAGGCTACTTTAATTTTGAAAAATTATTTTATTTTAGAAAAATAAAGTTAAATTCCACGCGGACGAAGACGCGGAAACAGCTAGTTAATTAATAAAAATGCAAATAATTTAGAAAATACTTTATTTATGAACACTCGTTGTATAATGGAAACAATTTAAACTTAATAATTAATATTTAATTTATGGTATATAAATTTAATAAAGCACACTTGCATAATCCTTACAATATATAAAACAAAGTCGCCGCCGTTGTCTATATGCTTACAACTTTTAAATTAAGCAACGGATTCCAATCGCCCGGTTGTTGCGCTGTATCATGTGATTGAGGTCGTCGTCTTCGCCGGCGAGGACAGTGTCGTGTGTGTGTATCATAGCGTGTCATAGCGTCGGGAAGCAGAGGTTAGCTGCTCTTATGACATCGGGATCGAGTTACAGTATTTGTAACAAAGCTCCTCCGAAACAGATTTACCGATTCTTATGAAATTTCATGTGTTTATTCAGTAGATCTGAGAATAGGAAATAAGCTAACACGAAGTCATGATTATTTGTATCGCTCTGAGTTTTTTTTATATATATTATATGTGTATTTACAGTATTTCTGTCAGTTATTTAGTAGCATACAAGCTTTGCATAGATTGGGTCTAGATGGCGCTGTGTGAATTGTCTAATTGATTATAGTGTATTACGATATAAGTGCGTTATGATTACGAGGCGGAATTTCAGCCCGAGTCAAAGTCCAGGGCGCAATAGAGCCCAGCGTGTTATACACACACGTATATTGTACGACGTTTTTCAACACACTTGATTTTAAATAAACTCAACAAAATAACCGTGATGCACACTTTTGTTATCTCGCCATTTTACTAAATAGAAAATAGTGTTATTATGGAATATAACTTCACTATTTGCGTTTATAACGCACGCGTCATTTATGAGCTGCTTTATATATCGAAAATCGGTGAAATTGGGTCTACTTTGCGATCAAATGTTCAACACATTAATAAGTACAAGTAATAAGTATTATATGTTAGAAAGTCTGTTCTAATCGCTGGTGGTGGATGTAGGAGCGGGTTGCGCGTGCGACGCCGGGTGAGCGAGCACGGCGTGGGGAGCCTGCGCAGTGAGCAGAGCCCGCAGAGCGAGCGCCTCCTGCCTCAGCGCGGCGATGTGCGCGCGTAAGGATGCGTTCTCTTGCTCAAGCACGCATGCGCGCCACGCTATCTGTATAGTACAACAATTTACATATTAATACGTGATACGAACACTTTGTAGACTTCTTTACAAAAATGACGCGGATATAGATAATTTCGTATCTATATTATTAATATTATAAAGCTGAAGAGTCTGTTTGTTTGAATGCGCTAATCTCAGGAACTACTGCTTCGAAGGGAAAAATATTTTTGTGTTTTATAGTTTATTTTTCGAGAAAGGCTTTAGATAGATAATTTATTTGCTTCAACATTTACAACAATAGTACAAATGTTCGCCTCATATTCAAGGGGCATGCAAATTACGATTCATAACAATTACCTTTACTATTAAATTACATTATAAATAAGAATATCAGATGTCAGGTCAATTCCCGCAAAGAGTAACAGTATATTTTAACGAGCCATTGGTGTAATTCTTTTTTAAATCTATTTAACGCCATCTCTCGAATTACCCTGTGGTATTTTATTATATTGTATATATTTGTATGGAACTGAAGTGTGAGTTAATTTTTTGCAAGTTAGTAAGTTAGTTCTACACGGTTTTTTTTTAAGACTGAGAAATTCTTAGGGATACTCAATGCGTTAGCGTTTGCGCCTGTGGTTTACGCTCGCTTCGGCAGAGTTTATATTGATTTAAGAAGTTATGATTTTAGTAGAGGTGTAATTTTAATATAGTTATTGTGATATATACATTTTTAGAAATATATACAATTATTTATATAAGAGAACATAAGACAAAATTAACGAATTACCAAAAAAAAAAACAATCAAAACTAAAAAATAACGAAGACAATCAAAACAATATACAACAGAAATAAAAGAACAAAACAAAGCAACAATATAGGTAAAACAAAACAACAAAAGATTAAACAAAATAACAAAACGGAAAGCAAAATAAAGACGTTGGTGGTTTGGATGACGATGGTATGGATATGATGATGGTATGAGAATGTTGATGATGGAGGTATGGGAATGATGGTGATGATGATTATGTCTGATTAAAATTTTTGAGGTTGTGAATGATGTATGATATGTGTGATGTGAAAGTGTCGATGGTTGATTGATGTTTGATGATGGATGGAAGATGGAATGGTTCTGAGACCCGAACCATGCTACAGGCCGTCTCATGGTCGAGCCTCGTGGGACCAAACCTCGGACACTCCTTGACGAGATGCTCCATAGTTTGCGGAGCATCATCGTTGCAAGGGCATTTGTCGTCCGAGGTGATCCCGAACCGTTTGAGGTATGATTTGCAGTATGAATGACCGGTGAGAAGATGGGTGACGGTTGTACTATGTAACATTACGCTACGACCAGTGAAAAATGTTGCAAAAACGGAGAAAATCCGAGGGCTTCCGTTGCGTCCGCTGCTTAAACGGTTCAAGTTACCTAAAATATATGTATGAAAGAATTATTCCTCTTTAAATGAATAAAAAAAATGCCTGCGACTATTCGCGATAGTGTTTTTGATTACCACGTGAACAAAGTCGCGGGCACAGCTAGTGCAGAATGAAAATTCGTATACTTATACTTTATATAGAGGAGTGCAGAATGTAAATTTTTATACATAATTGTATATGTATCTGCATTTTTTATGAAGGGAATAATAAAGAGTTTCATTCATTCATTCGTACCTGGTCCTCGCGCATGCGTCGCGCGTCACGTGACTTCTTGGCGGCCTGGTTGTTGCGGCGGCGCCGCTCGAAGTACTTCTCGTCCTTGAGCTCGGCGGGGATGGGCCGCTTCTCGCCGCGGCGGCGGTACACCTCCCCCTCACATGAAACCGGGCTCAGTACTGCAACAGTCCATGATTTTGTCGGACTACTCTAATGCTGTTGGCCGCAGCTGGCCTGTACAGCTTCACCGGATGATAGGGGGCGAGTGCAGATGGCACCAAAGGAAGGACTTATGGAGCGGTTGAAGGCCAACTCCTGCCTGACGGATAAAACTATAATCAGTGGGACTGCTGGGGTTTCGAATGGGACGGGGGATCGATCTGAGGGGGACAGTCCATATATCATCGTCATATATTTATTGGAACCACTATCACAGATGTAAAGAGTACGGCCAACCGCACATGTTTGTTTACTGTGCACTACCCAATTGCCGACAGTCAATTTCACCTCACTATATATAAGTGTTCAAAATCTACCCTGTAACATCGTAAGCACAGATTATTATATTAGAGTCCGTTAGTTTTCTGTTCCCGCGCCTTTGCCTCCCCTCCCTTACCTAGTAACAAACGGACCGTACAGCGGCCTTGACGCGCGCGCGCATTTGTTGTGAATTAAAATAAATTAGAACTGTGTTAAACCTACTGTGAAACTGTGAAAGTGTGTGAAAGCTAGCGAAGATATCTTCGAGACCCTGAAGCCCAAGAAATCCGCAGAACCATACAGGTACGTGACTGACGCTTACACACTAAATTCCCCTATAGATGTGCAGAGAGTAAATTCCCAAACAATAAGATAAGAGAAGTAATATTCAAAGGTAAACATTGGTATTTGTAAGACAATCAATATTAATCTATAAATTCTATTCATATTGTTTCTCTTTAATATTATTTCTCTATAGTCATATCTACTGAATATTTAATTATAATCAAATTTCGACCACTGGGCAACCATTACTACATAGAAAACATCCAGACCCAGACTGTACAAACACTATTCTTAAATAGAAATCTTTGAATCGTGCGAGGAATCAAACCCGCCATTAACCGGTGGGAAGGGGATTAGTAATGTGGATTGATAACCCCATTGCTAGCAATGTACCATGTCAGGTCGACCTCCACGCGGTTCCCCCTGGAAACCATCGTGTTAAATTCCTGGTGAATTTGTCACGATGGGCTAACTGACCTGACCTCATGCTCATCTTATCATCATCCACTGGTGCCCCGCCAGCGTAAACCGTTAGCGCAGGCGGGCGCACCATTCCATTATCATCCACAATAATATTAATAGTTCTGTGTTGTGTAACTCACGGGGCGCGCTGGGCGCGGTGAGCGGCGCGTGGGAGCGGCAGCAGCCAGCGAGGCATGGCGGCGGCAGCGCCGACAGCAGCCCGCCCAATGTACCACGCACATCTGTACAACACAAACATTGGTGATAAATAGTTATAAAACTGTCTGTCTGGGGGGCAGCGGTGAGAGGGGAGGAGTTAGTAATATGGACAGCAACCCGCCCAATGTACCACGCACATCTGTACAACACAAGCATTGGTGATAAATAGTTATAAAACTGTCTGTCTGGGGGGCAGCGGTAAGAGGGGAGGAGTTAGTAATATGGACAGCAAATGTACCACGCATATCTACACATGTACAACATTTATTACAAAAGAATATGAGCTGAGTTTAGTTCAGTTTTTCTCTCGAAATTATTCAAAACCTACGGTAGATTTGACATATCATAAGAGTCTGTAATAGACCTACATGAATAAATATATTCTGAATTTGAATAACTGTCTGTTTAGGAGGGGAAGCGATAGTTATAAATTTTATTTATTATTCCTCGCGGACCGAGTCGCAGGTAACAGCTAGTCCTACTAACTGCGCAGATGAAGTCGCAGGCACCAACTGGTTTTTTTTTGTAACACAGGGAACAAACGAGCATGCGGCTCACCTGATGGTAAGTGATTACCGCCGCCCATGAGCACCCGCAACACCAGGGGAATTGCAAGTACGTTGTCGGCCTTTTATAAAGGAATAAGCTCATTTCTTGAAGGTTAGATAATCTTAGTTAATTAGTACTTAGATAATCGTTCTTATTCTGATGGCACTCCAAACCCGCGGAAGGACTTATAAGGAATGAATACCAATCTCTGTGTGGCTGATACGACTTTAGTCTGAGGTCACCGCCAGGCAAAAACTAGTCTCTAACAAAATGAAGTACACAGACCAAACAAAGCCTAACATTGTAGTATATATAGTCTTTGAAAGAATGAAAAGTTACAACTTGTATCAGATTATGATTGTGGAAAGTCACGTGATGAACTGTGTAGGGAGAATAACAAACCAAAGTCAATCCTGTATATATAATCTAGAACTTCTAAAAATGGAGTAGCGGTACATTTCGACTTCTATAAACGGGAGCCTCTCTAAATGAGACCACTATAATTTTAAACCTTCTTAATTGGAAAACTGGATTAATGGAAACTCTTAATAATTGCTACATGATTCCTAGTCCCTAGAGATCCCAATTAATCATGTTTCACTATATAATATATACAGAATACTCACTACGCTACTAGCTACTGTTTTCTTTTCCACATTTCACACCCCTTTGTACATATTGATTTAACTAATTACCTATTGCAGGTGAACTGTAATCGGCCGCAGGTGGTAGTGCCACTTAATCGAGGACACGCGATGCGTTCTACTCATTAAACGATCGGCAAACATGGGGTGAAAGGGACCAAATAGGGCTAATTTGTCAAAGGGCTGACAAATAGTTGTAATCTGTGCACATTTTAATTATCACTGTCTATGGTCGATTTAAATGTAGACTAGGCTGTACGGTCTATGATCTTTAAAAGCTGCAATAGTTTGAGGACATACATCTGTTTCTAGGGAAATTTGTCCACTAACATATACCCATAAATCGGCTTTTATAAGCACAGTCAGCAACAAAGTCGAGGTCACTGTCTATCCGTCCCTATGTATGCTTAAATTTTTAAAACTACGCAACGGATTTTGAAGCGGTTTTTTTAATAGATACGAGTCATTCAAGAGGAAGGTTTATATGTACACCCGGGCGAAGCCGGGGCGAGTTAGTGCTAGTGCTAGTTTTTTATATTATATGTATCTATTTATTTCATAACTTTATCTAATTTTTTTTACCATCTGCTCTGCTACCATTTGCTTGATCGAAGGAAAAACGACTTGTTTTGAAGAAATAGTTTATTTCGTGTAGGTATATAATATTATGACATACAATAAAGTTTTTGATAATATTATATTTTTATATTAAAAACAGTGATGGAGTAAATAGCGATGTGCCAGTGTCACCTACAGTCTGTTCCATCATTGAAAAGGAAATGGACAGGGCTAATTGTGAAAGGGCTGGTAAAAAAATCTTTGCACATTTTAATTACCATAGTCTATGGTCGATTTAAAAGTAGACTTGGCTGTATGGGCTAAGGATCTTTGCCTGTTAAATCATTGAAATGAAAATGGAGGAATATGTGAACAAAATGTCTATGGTCGTAATTAATCTGGATATCTATGAGAAGGATTCCTCTCCTTCTTTATCGTACACATCGTTTGATAAAACCGGAATGGTAAAACTGTTAAGGTTAAATAGCACTGTTTGTTATCTGTGCGTTGGTTACACACCAGGTCATATGTTGAGCGGAGCGCGTTTCTTATTAAAAACTCGACTTTGACCGATCGGATTTTTTTTGTAAACGATGGAGTCCCATAGGTCAACCATCGATGAAATTTTAGTTTCGATAAGTCACGTCATTTCGGAGGAATATCGTTACAAAAATTGCAAATCTGATCTCTATATTACGATGGTGGTAAACAAGCATACGGACAATCTGATGGTAAACGATTACCGTAGTCAATGGACGCTTGAAACACCAGGGATGTCCCGTGCCCCTTGCTGACTAAAACCTTAATATACCCTTGAGAAACCCCATGCTGTAGTCTCGTGAGAAAACCTTTGTTCATTCCACAGTTCCTTCTCGGAACCATCGTGATAAGCTGGTGAATTGGTCACGATGTTCAAATGACCTAACCTCATGTTTATCTTATCTTCCACCACTGGTGCCCCACCAGCGTGACCGTTAGCGCAGGCGGGTGTACCATTCCATTATCAATTCTAAAAAGTCCATTTTACCTCATCTTTTTACCATTTAGCTGGACCGTGGTTATGTTTGCCATTTTAATTTGTTTAAATGTTTATTTTTTAAAGTACAGCAAATATAGTTAATGTTGGGGTTAAACGGTCATGCACCGAAGCCTCCCCATCGATATTGGGTACAGTTAATTATTTATTTATTGAATTACCCCAGTCCCACGTGACCACGGCACGGTGAGAAGTGTGCCACCTGCACTACAACACTATGCGTTCACGCACTATTGCAATTAGACAGGTAAAGCTAAGCGTTGATAATCTTAATCTATACTAATATTATATAGCTGAAGAGTTTGTCTGTTTGGTTGTTTGAACGCGCTATTTTCAAGAACTACTGGTTCGAATTGAAAAATTTATTTTGTGTTCGATAGTCCATTTGTCGAGGATGACGAATAGGAACTGTGGCTGTGCGCCATGTAATATTGTGTATCTCATTATGTTTGCGCGGGAAAATAAAAAACTATGAAATTAATTTTCTTCTGCTTCAAATTCCTATTTGTTTTATTCTATTGATTATACGTTTATATGTCTGCAATTTACTTCTAATATAATTAACTACTTAGATACAAAAAAAACCTTCGATACAGCCCCTACTAACCTACCTGACACTTATAAATCAGAATAGCATATAGGTTATAAATTTTAAGAGGATGAAACCGCTAGCATCAAAAAATATAGGTAGTTGACTATTATTTACATGATCGACCTTGGTAGAGATTATAAAAATGCAATAATTAACTTAAAATAAGATGGAAATTATGATTACGACTGAATTTCTATTGCTCCCACAAAGGATAGAAGTAGAGGGATTAATACTCATTTCAAATAATTTCTTTACGTAATTGGAAACGCAAACAACATACAAACTTTACCTCTTCATATTATTAGTAGATATAGATTTTGATTATTTATTTAAAGTTTCAAGGAATTCACATGATAACGTTCCACTACGTGCGCTGCATAAACGTTGAACGTTACACATAAAATATATATCTAAGACGGAATTGTTGGCCTTCAAAAGTTCTAAAAAAAACGCCTCTACGATATATGTCTATCTTTTAAGCTTAACTCACTATAACTTTTTTTTATGGTAATCAAATTTCATCTAAACTAAATAATCATTATTTGCGAAGGTGTTTTTATAAACTTGATATTACATTATTTATTACTAGCTATTGGCCCTGGCTTCGCCCAGGTGTATCTACATGTATTATATATATAAACCTTCCTCTAGAATCTATCTATTAAAAAAAACCGCTTAAAAATCCGTTGCGTAGTTTTAAAGATTTAAGCATACATAGAGACGGACAGACAGCGACAGCGACTTTGTTTTATACTATGGAATGACTAGCTGACCTGCGCAACTTTGTCTGCATCATACTTGACATTCATCTGGTCCATTTAGGAGTGCTAGACGGCCCTAACCATCCTCCACTATAGGGCCATACTTGAACTTGATAAGTATTACATTTTAAACAAAATTGTTTTAATTTTTATTATTTGTTATTAGTAAAGTGTTAGTTGAAATCAAACTATGTATAGCGTTTGATTTCAACTACTAATAATACAAGCAGAACCTCAAATATAGGGCCCGTGCGTAGCCGGGTGGGATGCTAGTTTTAAATAATATTCGACTCAAACATTCATTACATACATTTGAATGAAAGTTTTGCACTAAACATTCTATAATTGCTGGGGATGAGAATAAACAGGTGCGCCGGCACCGCGTCGGGTTGTATGAATGACGGCTGAGGTCGGGGATTGGTACAATTGCGCATGCAAATTACAAAGAAAGAAAGAAAGAAAAATATTTTATTCAGTGGTTTTCAACAAAAAAAAAATACAATCATACAATATAAAAAACAAACGAAGAAAAAGATCAAATAAAATGTACCTACATATAATTAATTTACCATGTAGATAATAAAAAACAAAACATAAAATAATCATTTTTTACATCCATACCTATATGCACTGAAACGGCTCTACTCGGCTTTAATGTATGTTCTATGTGAAAATCGGTCCAACCGTTGGACCGATTTTGACGATTTTGATTTAGAGAAAAACTGTTGATTTGAAATTAGCTCGAAAGCACTCGACAGTAAATTTGACATATCATAAGAGTCTGTAATAGACCTACATGAATAAAGATATTTTGATATGATTTCATATACTCACCAGTTGGTGCCAGTAGCTGATTGTAGCTACTCAGTAGGGTGAGCGCAGCCAAAGCACCACTCCGACTCTGCTGAGAGACGCATCCAGGATCCGCGTCGTAACGGAATACTGTTTGATCCATTTTACTATTACACTTACACTTTTTGTGACCACTAAACTTATTATAGTCCTCTCTTGTCACTAACTAAACTTTAAACGATACGCAAGTGCAAGTTTCTTGCTCATTCTTCTCGACTCTGTTCCGAATGAGTGGCAGAATAAAATATGACTATATTCAAAAGTTCTTGTATTAATAATAATCTCACGATAATTCACACAGTGCCATCTACCAATTACCAAGTTAAGCTAGCTAAAGCTTGTTTTATAGGCACTAGATAACTGATACAAATACATATTTTGTATTGTAAATACATACATAATATACATAAAAAACACCCAAACCGATACAAACAATTATACACTCATGAATGTTTGTGCCGTGCGAGGAATCGAACCGCGACCATTGGAAGAAATGCGTGTGTTAAACCGCTAGACACCGAGGCCGTCAATATAATAATCTATATATATTTGAAATTCTTATGTCACAATATTAGTCGCCATACATTGTTGTAATGGCTTAACCGATTTTGATGAAATTTTATTTGTATACTCTGCAGGTCTGAGAATATAATGTTATCTATTTTTATTCCCTGAGTGCTAAGGGTGGCCCACCCAATGAATAAATATAGGGGTTGTAGGTATATGTTACCTACAACCCCTATTTTTTAATAGCGATATTAATTTATATGTCAGCTATTATAGATATGAAAAATGGAGATCCGGAGAGTCGTGAAAAGATAATATATAGAAAGACAGATGTTCTTTTATATTTATAATATTACTTATATAGTAATGAATGGAGCGCAAAAATAAGACCACATTTTTAAATGCTTACCGTTCTGCTTCGATGAACATGCAGTGGATATTACACGCTCATCATCACTACATAGTATAAAACAAAGTCGCTGTCGCCGTCTGTCCGTCCTTACGAAAATGTCCCCTTAAATCTTTAAAACTACGCAACGGATTTTGAAGCGGTTTTTTAATAGATAGAGTGATTTAAGAGGAAGGTTTATATGTATAATACATGTACACCCGTGCGAAGCCCGGGGTGGGTAGCTAGTTAAAATTAAATTATAGGATGAGTGGCATAACATCTTAGTCCTTTGGAATGGCAACGCATGTATCACGGTTGTCATATGATAACGTGATGTCCGTAGTGATGACGTGATGTCCGTAGTGATAACGTGATGTCCGTAGTAATAACGTGATGTCCGTAGTGATGACGTGATGTCTGTAGTGATAACGTGATGTCCGTAGTGCTATTCATGTATATATCTAACCAGTGGTCTTCAACGTTTTACAAACCGAAAGCCGAAACAATTTTATTCTGTATAGCGGGCCGCACCAGAGGTTTTGTTTATAAAGATTTAATTTATTTTATATTAAACATACTCGTTATTACTTCATTGTTGTCGTTACTGAGAGTGGACCTATGATGGCGGGCCGCAGAAAACATAACGGCGGGCCGCAAGTGGTCCGCGACCCTTCTAGGCGATGGTTTTTCTTATGGATTATGAATTAACACAGCGCCATCTAGTCTCATGCTAAGCGGAGCTTTTGTTATGGGTACTAGAGGACTGATATAAATAAATAAATATATTTTCTAAATACATACATAATATCTACACATAGAAAACACCCAAACCGATACAAACTCATGAATACAAATGTTTGTATTGTGCGAAGAATCGAATCCGCGAACATCACAAGTCATAAGGGTTGAGAATGGCCGAAAATGACATGGTCCATCCATGTGAAAGATGATATGACATGAAAGAGAGGACTGCGAGGGATGAATCGATGAGAAAAACATTACGCCGACTCCAAGTGATATGGGGTAATGAAAAACAAAATAATAATTATATCTCCCTTCCGTCCGGACTTCCGTAGGTAGTGTACAGACGTGCGCGCATATACCTAAATTACTTATATCGTTTAATATAAAACAACGTAATAAAGTGCAGAAACAAATCTATTACATCCACAGATGAACAAAAGGTGTTAAATTAAAGTTCAGTACAATCTAGTATGTCAAAAAGAATAGTATCTCTTTTGTACATTTTTTTTTTGTACTCAAAAGTATTTAAGTTTTTTTTTCATTCATTTATGTACACAAATGCAGCTGTACCAAAAATGTTTACATAATTTTGGAGGGAACTGGCTTTCGTGGCACAGGTTCACCTATATCGAAAGACAGGGTTAACTATATTTAATGGTACCGTGCATTTATGAATAAAATTTATTATTATTATTATATGCCAAAGAAACATGAGAAAAATATAGATATAAAGGGTTGAAATAATTATTTTTGTGTTTAGTAATAATAATAGAAATAATGGTTTATTTTATCGTAAATATGAACTTATTTTTAGGTATATTATAATATAGTAGGTATACGTTATGAATGGGTCTTTGAAAATTTCAGCTTAAAGGACCATGCGTGCATTAGGTACCACAGCCATTAAATAGTTTAATACATTTGAAATCTAATTGAATTATTTATATATTTTGTAATTTTTTTTAAATTAATTTCCTAATAATTCCGTTTATAAATCTTATTATTAACGTAATTATTATAAATACATAATTTAATTATTTATTCCATTACTTTATTTATTTTTACAGCTGGTAATTATGTAACACATTTTTGTTTATATATTTATCACCAATATCTTTGACCATAGAGTCTAGTTATGCCGGAAAATTAAAAAGTTCGCACTCGAATTTCGAACGAATCGCTACATTTCCCGCCGAGAGACTGCTGTTACGCATTCCGTAGCGTTCTACTTGTGTAACACTAACTACCGTATTGTGATTGGTTACCGCGCGACAATTAGGTAACGTCCGCGTTGCTGATTGGTCGCTCGGCTGCACCACGCCCCGCAATACTCCGTAACTTAGCGCCGCTTATGAAACTAGGTGTAAGTTGAGATTGCTTACTACAACAGATTGTTACATTTTATGTAGTTTTTAAAATAAATGTATTTTTTTGGGTTATAGAATTAAGAGTGCTAAATCTTTAAATTATATTTTGCATGCCATGTAAATGATAAAGGTAGTTACTTTATTTTATGGAGATAGTTCCAATTTCAGTCAAAATATAGGGAAACACTGTTATTTGTTGTTGTTATATATAGTTATAATAATGTAATTGCGGTGCATCTACGGGGTACCACGTGTTTTATGTCTTTTTATCAAGAACATCATCCATGTAGGTACTATGTGAAAAGCAAATTAATTAAATAAATAAATAATTAAAATTTGTTAAATGTACTTACCACACAATATAGCAAATAAACATTTTGATTAAAAACATAATAGTGGTATCCAATGCCTTTAATACTGAAAAAATGCAAGGATACATACTACACTATGCTGCTTCTGAAGCAAAATTCTTAGGACTAAGGTGCAATGATGATTTTGTACGAATTCTATAACAATATAATATTAAACATAACTGTTATTAGTGGCTGATAGAGATTCGAGTGAGAAGTGACAGAGAAAAAATCGAATAGTGAAATTATTTTACTTTTAAGTGTGGCAACACTGTTCTTGTATAATTAATGAAGTGTCATTATCGCGGTCGGAGGGCTCTTTATTGTGTACACGAATGATAGTCGAAATTTTGTATAAATATTTGTTTTGGTGTTTTGTATACATATGATTTTTATTTATGTTTTTTTATGTAACTGGAATGTCAAACCAGTTGACTGCCACAAAACGAGTGACTGTCCATAATAATAGTAATAATAATGACAAAATTAACAAAAAAGTATATCTTATAAATATAGCCATACCGAATACTACTAATACATATAATAGGGGGGAAATGGGATTGTTAGGATTGTGGATTGATGACCTTATTGCTGGAAATGTACCATTTCAGGTTGACCTCCACGCGGTTCCTCCTGAAAACGATTGTGATAAATTCTTAGTGAATTTGTCACGATGGATCTGAACTTATGTTCATCTTATCATCCTTCACTGGTGTCCCGTCAGCATAAACCGTAAGCGCAGGCGGGTATGGTGTCACCATTGTCACCCATAAAAAAAATACACACAATATACAAAGTACCATCAATGAAAAGATCTAGCAATAGAATTAAAAAAAAAACAATTGAAAGCACCAACCATCCATATAGTACCCATAGTTCTGTCATCCACAAGAATTATACAAAGAAGTCTTAGCAAACAACTAGATACGTTGCAAATCCCCTTCTCTACAATAGAACTGTTACAAAAAGCCGTCATTCTCCACACATACCGTATTGTATTGAAATTTTTTCGTCATTAATTTCATCATCCTCATATAACTTTTAAACGCCTCCACGCTTGGTTATGGCCGCGTGTTTGAACGTATTACCCTTTAAAAAAGGAGATATATAAGATATATATATAAAAAGTAATAATAATAATCTCAGGACAATTCACACGCCATCTAGACCCAAGTTAAGCCAGCTAAAGCTTGTGTTATGGGTAGGTACTAGATCATCAGTTATGCAAATACGTAGATCTTTTTTTTATAAATACATACATACCTATTATACATAGAAAACACCCAGACCGACACAAACAGTATGACTGTTTCTATTCAAATTGAAAATATCTTATTCATGTAGGTCTATTACAGACTCTTATGATATGTCAAATCTATCTATGTATCGATCTATATCTACGTGCGAGGAATCAAACCCGCAATCATCGAAGGTAAGGCGGTGTGCTAAATCGGCAGTCCACCACGGATATCATGGTATCCTGAGACGCTCGTGGTAGATACTCCTGTGTCATTCCAGAGATTCCAACTAAGATGTCATACCTCCATATCCTGTAATTTCACTGACATATTTCACCATTAAAGTAATACAGTTTACAAAGCAAGATGCCTTATGTTTTTTTTTTATTTATTTATTTATTTATTTCAGGCAACTAGGCCCATATTATAAATACCTTATAGACTAACATACATATAATATAATATTTAAAAACTAATACAATAATATTGTCTGTGTGATCACGGCACCGAAGACGGCAATCTGCCACGGTAGCGCCGATACACCACACCTTTC